CGTCAATCCACCCCCGACCCACGCGGGTAACATGAATAATATGCTCTTGCCCCCCCCGGTGGGCATCACCGCCACGACCGGGCTGACCCCCTGCTGGATCGCCCGCAACGCGGGCTCCTGCACCCCACGGAATACCATCTCGGGCCGTCCGACCATCTGCTGGAACGACTGCAACATATGGGCCTGCTGTAACTGATACCGCCGCTGCGTCCGGCTCTCCTCGGCATCATCCTCCCACGGATTCGGACGCTTACCGCATACCCCGGCGCGGACGGCGGATGCAAACCCTAAAAATTGATGCCAATCCTGGCTGGACTGCCGGAACCGCTGCCGCCGGTGCGTGGTGCTGTTGGTGGGCTCCATGATCGTACGACCGTACATCATCCCGGCCACGTGGGACGAATGGGTGGCTTGCAAATCCGCAATATGCCCCATAAACTCCTCCTCGTCCATCCCACCCTCGTCGTCGGGGTCGTACGGGGGGGCCGCCTCGCCCGTGCCCTCCTGCACGTTACTCTCAAACTGGCTCTTGCCCCGTAAATACCGCCGGCTGATCGCGATGGCGATGTCGCGGTATGCCGACACGTGGACCGCCTGCCCGTGCAACCCCGCGGCCGTGGCCGATTCCAACGCCTTCCGGAATCGTACGCCCGTCCACGCCTTCTCGCTGCCGGCGTCGGGGCCCCATAAATACTCTTGTCGGCGGGGGGTGGGGGTGCCTCGCTGCTGCCACTGATATGCTTGCAATATCTCCACAAACGGCAACACCAACCATATATATCGGACGACCAACTCCCCAACCTCCTGCGGCAAATACCGCTGAATCACCTTGGTATCGTTGGTGATATGGAACCCTTTGTGATATCGGCTGACAAATACCACCATCCCATCTTCGATAAACACGTTGCGGATCTCTCGCTCGCTGTTCCGGTACCGGATACTCAACAACTCGGGCGTACGGCTGGGCTGGCCGGCCGTGATATGGATCGCCACGCTTAACCGCTCGCGGAACCGGGCCACCTCGGCAAAATACCGGTCAATTGCACGCATCCGGAACCCCTGGCCGTCCGGCTCGCTGAATCGCCGCCGGAACGTGGGCTCCTGGGCCACCCGCTGGATCAACCACTCGGCCCCGTGGACGGGCCACTGCGTACGGGAATCCTTGATAAAACTCCAATCCGCCGTCCGCTGCGTGGGATCGTCGTATATATCCTGTAAATCAATACTGGGGATCTGTGCACCCTCGGCGAATATCAACTGCTGGTGAAACTGGTTCCGCATGCTCTCGACCAACCCGTGGACCATCCCACGGAAATCACCCATGGTAAAATGCAACTGCTTATACAACAACTCATCCTCGCCTTTCCATCCGATATGCCCCTCGGACGGGGTGTTGAAAAACACCTTCTTTCCGTACGTGCGTAAATCCAATAACCACTGGACCGGCCCGTGGGTCCCACGCACCATAAACGCATCCACCATCAATCGTAACCACTCGGGAAACGTACGAATCACCCGACGACCCTGGATCTGGGTGGGGGGTCCCAAAATGGACGTGGTGGGGGATCCGGGCATGGGACGGGGGGTGGGCGTCTCTCGGACGGGGCTGCTGGCATAACCCTCGTCCCCGTCAAATATATATCCGTCCGCGACGGGGATATCGTCACCACGGAAATGGGGCTCCTGGCTGCCCTGCGCGAACCCACGCCGGATGGCCAACGAATCGGGGTCTAACCGCAACGCCTTATGCAATACCAAAAAACGGGCGATCTTGATCAAACTGGATATCTTGGGGGGGTAATCCTCCACCCCATCCCATCCGGACAACTTCCGGCCCAACACGGCCGATGCGCATATAAACGCACACCCATACTCGTGGTGCCGGATCCGCTGGCGTAACAAATTGATGCAAAAATCCATAATCGCGCACTCCAACGGCGATAACTCGTACGGCTCGGGGTCCATGGGGTCCGGGCTGGACCGGCCCGCGGCCTGCGCACGCCGCCATACGATCTCCCACGACCGCTGCTGTGCGGGGGTGAACTCGTACGGGGGACTCTCCCAATCGTGCGGCTGCTGGGTGCGGGTGAAAAACATCAATATCCGCTGCCACGGCTCAATATGGTCCTTGATCTCCGCTTCTTTCATATACGCCAACAACGGCTCGTACGGGGAATCGGCCTTCTGCGTGCGGGCGGCCTCAATCCGCACCAAAAACCCACTCGCCCGGGTGATCTGCTGGCTGACCATGGCCAATCGCTCCATGGCCTGCCAAATGGCCCATGCCGCACCCTCGGGGCCCTCGGCATCCTCGTCCGGCCGCTCCATGGACTGCACTAACGGGGCGGACGAAATGCCCTGTAAATACCGGACCCACCCCGTACGGTTTAACCATGGGGTGGCCTCGTCCAATTCCCCGGCCTGGATGACCGTCTGCTGGCTGCGGGCCTGCTGGGCCTGGAATGCTCGTACGCGCTGGACCAACTGCTGGATGGCATCCACGGGTGGCACCGGTTCGGCCCGCGGTGGATCGGGCTGGCGGATGGGGATGAACTGGGAACCGGACCCATGCTTGAAAACACGTTGGCATGTCACACTCTGGTAACTGGTATTAATATCCTCCTGGATACGCCTGGTCTCGGATGGTTTGGGACGACCCCGGTGGGTGCTGGGGGACCATTCATGTGCGCGTTGCCAATGGACTCGTAATGACTGCATCGTACGGCAAATATATCTCTCACACCGTAAACACAATAAACCGTCATCAAATACGGTTAATCCGGGTATTGGGCTATCAATCTGGGTGGGCCAATGGATAATATCGGGCTGGTCCTCAATATGGTCCCATTGCTGTACGCAACTCTCAATATACTGCGCTACCGTACGCGGGACTCGGTGGTTGGTACTGGTTAAATGCGTGATAATATTATCTCGTCGCACGGCATGCTCACAGTTACGGCAAATTACCACATGAAACTCGGAATTGGTGAAAAATAACTCGCTGGCTGTGGGATTGCGGGGCGTGGTCTGGGACATGCTGGAAATGGTAATATATCGCTGGGAGCGATTATGCGAAATCTGTACGCTCAACTTTAACACTATACGGGTGAATTGGTCAATTGGCCTTGGAAAACAAACTGAATATATGGCTGAATCAAATCAATCGACCCCCTGAGTTTTCAGCTTTCTCACCCATGTGATCCCCCTATACCCTATTGGGTATCGGGTGGTCGTGGTCGTACGGTGATGTATCACCCTAACCCGCGGTCGGCACCCCATCAAAAAAAACTCCCGGATTTTGGACCCCTGCAATAACGATTTCTGCTGCTGGAAATGATCTGAATTTTGGTTTGACTATGAAGTAGAGGGTGACGAAAAACATATCAAAATTTGAGATCTGTACGATAAAGCATTAAAATTGTAACGGACTCGGGAAAATTAATTGTAATGGACCCCGCCCCACTTTTTTCTCTCCCATACTAAAGAATCTCACCCTAATTGTAATGGTGTCCATTACAATTACCCCCATGGGTTAGTACACTCTATATCCACCCGGGATCCGTCACCTGCGACAAAGGCTGTACCAGCCCGGCCAAAGCAGCCGATACAAGCAGTATACGACGCCCGGGTAGGTGATGCCCGAGGTGTCCTGTCACTTGGCAAGGGCATTAGTCCTGAAGATGAAGAAGATGACGATTCTGCTGGGAACAATGGTGGATAATAGGAGAGGAGCGAGGGTAATTCCTTACCTTTTCTATCTCTGCCCTGTCGGATATTCCCAGTAGAACAAAGACAAACCGCTCCTACTGTCAACAAAGGTTAAACTGAGGCTGAAACCTCAATATCAAAGAATCTCTCATTTGAGAATTTTACGCAGATTGCGTGATCGAAACCCCTTTGTTTTGCAGGCGACAGATGGTCGTATCGCCCTGCTTTCTTTGTGAAAACTGATGCGTGTTCTTTTCTACAAACACTTTCCTGTCAACTCTCGGTTCTGTCTTTGGTTCTGTATTTAGCAATTACTTGAAGGGTCTGGTCAACTGGGGCAGTTGCCCCTTAGAGGGGGGATAATTGTCACGAAACTGACAAGGAGTATCTGGAAGTTCTCTCATGTGACCTCAGCTGACCTTGCCGAGAGAGTGCGGGGTATAAAGCCCATCTCTCTCTTAGTACCTACGATTCCTTCAAGAATCAGTTTTGATACAAATCTGATTACTGCTTTTTTACAACCCATCTATTCTCCCTCTATCTTATCCATAAACCCTAACAGCCTTGAAGAACGAACTGAATATAAAGCTGAATCAAATCAATCGACCCCCTGAATTTTCAGCTTTCTAACCCATGTGATCCCCTATACCCTATTGGGTATCTAGTGGCGGTGGTCGTACGGTGATGTATCACCCTAGCCCGCGGTCGGCACCTCTATTGGGTTTTTGTGCACAAAAACCAATCTCTTTCGCATCTTAATATTCTAATGGGTTTTTGTGCACAAAACCCCATCTCTCAAAATCCATATCCCTGAATTTTCAGCTTTCTAACCCATATAATCCTTGTACGGTGATGTATCGCCCTAACCCGCGGTCGGCACCCCATCAAAAAAACTCCCTGATTTCCAACCCCTGTTTTAACCATTTCCACTGCTTCGAATGATCTGAATTTCGGTTTGACCATGAAATAGAGGCTGGCGAAAAACATATCAAAATCTGAGCCCCGTCCGAGTCCAGAATGTAAATCCATCCTTATCTTGAAATAATATTCCATCGTACCCCGACCCACTTTTTTTCCCCCCATACTAAAGAAGTCCACCCTAATTCCATCGTAGTAGAATGGAATTACCCCCATGGGTTAGGCTGGCGAAAAACATATCAAAATCTGAGCCCCGTCCGAGTCCAGAATGTAAATCCATCCTTATCTTGAAATAATATTCCATCGTACCCCGACCCACTTTTTTTCCCCCATACTAAAAAAGTCCACCCTAATTCCATCGTAGTAGAATGGATTTACCCCCATGGGTTAGGCGTATACGTGGGATATGAGCGTCCGGGGTGGATCTTCCGTACGGGGACAGTATCTTTGGATGCCGCTGATACAGCGTCCATCACCCGTTTCACAGCTTCGTCCACTTTCTCAGCTGTATCGAGCACCCAGCCAGGACCCGATATGCTCCACCCTTGCTTCGTGATATATCTCTCAAGGGCCTTACACCAGGCCTCCCAGTCCGTGGCCCGCCAGTCCTGGCGCTCTCTAACCCCTGCTGGCGAGGTACGGACGTCGAATTCAGTGAGAATCGGCACGTGGTCGGCTCCGTACCACCACTGGCGGCATGGAGTGCAGCGAATCACATGGTCCGCGAGAGACGCCGCGGTCCACGTTAAATCGATCGTGCTACGCACAATATTGCCATAGACAGGCCCTTCGAATGTGACTGTGCCTTTCTCTGTGAGTAGATCTAGGCCAAAATCACCCATTATGCGAATCAGGTCGTCTGCGTCGTCGTCCGGCAGCTGGGCCTGCTGGATCGTCGACCACAGCGGGTGGTGGAGGTTGAAATCACCAACCACGACATGCTGCCCACTGTGGTAGCCGCGTAGGGCTACACAGAGCGCGGCTAGACCTTCTTTCACTTCCTGCGTACGCTCTGGGTCGTTGAACTTCCCCGGAAGATATATATTATGCACATGCAGCTGGCCGGCCCCGGTTTCCACGGTCAGCGTGCTGGCGTCTCTGCTGTGGTGTCTGATCGACCACGATTTCGGGTTGATCCCTTTCGATACGAAGAAGCAGACACGGGGCTGCGTGCGTGCTGCTTCCTCGCGGACGGCTGTGGGTGTAGGCCGGAGAAGTGTATGAAACCGGCCACCAAGTGTCTGCGAATGGACGCCCATCTCGGGTTCCATCCAATTGAATATCTCAGGCTCTTGGATAGCCAGGATATCGCACTTCCGCACCCCTTCCTCACCGAAGAGATGCTTCATGACCGTATCGTTCGATTTACGGCAGTTGGCCTGCAGGATTTTCAGCGTTTGGCTTATCATTGCGCGCTCGCTGCGCCTCGAGTGATAGGGCCAGTTCTCTGCGATTGTGTGGGGGCTTCTTGGCTGAGCTCGTCTGAGGACTCGCTGGCGGTACGCCTGCTGCGTCTACGGGTTTGCGTGCCGATATCTTCCAGATTCTCTGTTGTGACGTCCGGCGTAAGGATCTCCACCATATCCGAGGACGGGGCGTGGAGCCCTTCCCACTGCTTTTGCATGGGCTGCACTAGCCGTGGGGTGCCGTACGTGACCAGCTTCCGGTTAACTGTGGTGGTTTTTGGCCGAATACGGCTTGCGGGGACCAAAGGGGCATCTTCACTCTCTGAGCTCGAGGACGGGGCCCGGCGGCGCTTGCTAGGGCTAGCGGACCGGCCTTGGATCCTAACCTCGAGCTTTCTTGCGGGCTGTAGTACGGGCTCTAGCACCTGTTGTGCGCTATTGACTAGCTCACGGGCCGCTTTGCCGATTTGTGAGCCGGAGTATGCTTCTGCGGGGGTAGGGGCAGCTGGGGATGTTGACGTTGATGGGGTAGGGGCTGTGGCCGTCCGGTGGAGCTGAGGGCCCCGGAGACGGTTGATACGGATCATGTCGAGCTGCTCGGCACGCCGAGGGCACTCTCGTTCGAAGGCAAAGTGGTTAATTTTGACCTTAGCTTCTTCAACTGCGGTTTCGTTGTGCCTGATACACACAGCACACTTGGCAGACGCGCGGTTACGGGCATGTGCACATTCCTTGGAGTCGTGAGATCCAGCACAGTACGCGCAGCGGATCTCCCTTCTGCAATTACGGGCGATATGACCGTACGATTGGCACTGGAAGCACTGCTGCAGCCGGTGGCTGCCGTCGAAGAATTGGCAGTCGTGATCCCGCCCCTGCAGCGCCAGGCCGAGAAGAATTGCTTGATTTGCTGCGTCTGGGTCGTCGAATTCGATCACGAGCTTAGCGGTGGTGGTATCGGAGGTTGTGGCCTGTTTCCGGAGGTCGGCCATCTTACGTGCCGGCATGAGCCAGCCGATGTGCATGATATTAGCGGTCGAAGGGATGCGGCGTACGTTCTGTGAACGCAGGCGTTTCGCAGCATCTGGGGCGGAGGGGTCGAAGCTGATCGGCACGCCGTGCATGACAACGGAGAAGGTTTCTCGCTTAAGGTGCGCTTTCGGTCCAAAGACGGCACACCAGCTGTTATCTTGCGGGCTACAGAGGTCAGTCAACTGGCGGACGTCGCGTACGCTGTCGCAACGGAGAAGCACGTCGCCGCTGGGCAGCACAAAGCCGGTAGACACCTCAACCGGAGCGATCTTGGCTTCGTCACAGACGTCTTTGATCGTCCGATTGGCCCGGTGGACCACTTCTTCCGCATGTCGACGTAGCGGATCGACCAGAGAGCGTTCTGTGCCACGGATGATCAGCTGCAGGTCCTCTCGTAGCACCCGCTGCGGTGCAGGGGCGCTACCGGTGCTGAGGCCATTGGTGGAGAGTGTGCCGTTGGTGTGGGCTCTGTTCAGCCAGCCGGAGACAAGAGAGGATTCGGTATTGCTGCGAAGTGCAGCTCGGTAATCCATTGGCCGGCGGGAGCCAGCAGGGTTCGCAGTAGCAGCGGCGGCAGCTGCGACGGCCTGGGTGTCGATAGACGCCTGCAATTTGTGATACAGGTCGGCCTGCTTGCTGGCATGCTCGTCGAATATCGCGCGCAGGCGCTGCAGCTCCGCCAGCAGCTCGCTGTCCGTCATCCTCTTCGCCAGGGAGATCACGGCGTCAAAGAAGCCGTGCAGCTTGGCTGGCGGTGGGGGGTCACGGTTCTCGTCTGTTGCAGACTTCCATAGCACGGCTGTTTTCTGTATTTTTGCTGCTGTGGCGCGTAGATCGTGGCTGCTGTCGATCGCTGGCGGATCGGGCCAGTCTGCCACGTTTTGAGGTGTCGGCCGGGCGGTCGGCCCCTTTTTTGACTTTTTCGCCATCGCGGGCCGCAAAACCACGCTTTTTCAGCGCGCAGCGGGTAACCGACGATGTACGTAAGTAGAAATTAGGTTCAATCGAACCGTGGAAATGAGACGCTTAATTTGCTGTCCACCAATGGGCGTCCAGGCTGCTGTAGCTGTGGGGCGCGTTTCGCACAAAAGATTTTTTTCTATATGTTCTTCATAACCCTTTCCCTATTTTGTGGAACTACCACCATAATATACTAAAATCCAACGTTTTTCTTTTGTAATTAATAGAAAACCAGTCTTTCTATCTTCTACTCTGCCTTTATTACCTAAAATTTCCTTTAATTGAACCTATAACTAGAAAGAATCTTAGAGGGAAACCAGAACACCTGTAAAAAACAGTATTTTAATTTGATTAGTGAGTAGGGTTATGCATGCCAAGACCTCTTTTTTATGCAAAATTGGGTTTTCTTGGGGCCCCAACCCAAACCCAATATGGGTTTGGGGTTGGGTTGGGTTTTCGAAGTCGGACCCAAACCCAATATGGGTTGGGTTTTGGGTCAAGACCTTGGACCCAAATTGGGTTTTGTAGAAGTCTACGTAAGATTCAAGACGGAATTTACAAGGGCGAACATGTTCAAACTTGAATCGACAACGACATGAAAGCCTGAGCTTCTTGTGCGGCACACTGAGCCACAGACGATCATGCTTAGTATATATCTTAGGTACTCACCCCCTTGCGTGCCAATATTCGACTCACTCTCCTAACCTCACATGTCAATCTTAGGTTCCCAAGGAAAGGAATGTAGCCTAGATTAGCCCAGCTACATCCATCTACATTTGGATACCCAGAGTTATGCATACTTTTATCTGAAATTGAGCTCAAATACCACCCAGCGCTAATGAATGATTTTTCTTCCAACGAAAGTTCAAAACTACAGCTCCTCTTTGACATGAACAAACTTCTATCTACCCTCTTTTGAAGACTGCGGCTAAGTTATTCCAAAAAATGTGGGAATACTATGATGGCAGATCTGTTCTAGTGACTGGGGGATCTGGATTTTTAGGGACGGCCATTGTACATCGTCTTCTAAGCCGCTCATCTGTATGCCATGTCTATTTAATTTGTCGCGGGGGAGAAAAGTAAGTTTCACATGAAAATCACGGAGAAAAAAAAACACCGCTGACTTGCGTGATATAGAAAGCTTCGATCTAAATGGAAAGAATGGCTGCCCTTTGGAATGGTTGAGAAGTTATGTGATTCAGCTCATCTTTCAGTGTTTGATGGAGACATCCTATTGCCAGATTTGGGACTTGAGCCAACAGAACTGATGACCCTACGCCACGCCGTCCAAATTGTCATCCACGCCGCATCATCTATCAGCCTAGCGAAACCCCTACAAATTCTATCAAAATCGATTATCGCTGCAAGTGAGGCAATCGCAGAGATCTCACTCACTTTCAAGGACCTTGATCGTTTCATCTATGTGTCTACCGCATACGCGAATACCCATCTTTACACTCGCTCCGAGAAGCCCGGAATTGACTTGAACGTTGAAGAACGTTTCTACGATCTTGAAAAGCAAGGAAATACCATGGAAGAGTGGGAAAGCGTTCGGAGGTACGGGACAAGCGAGGCATACGAGGCTGAAGACTTCCCCTGGGACTATGCCTATGCTAAACATCTGACGGAACGGCTTCTATTGCATCGCTTCTCTCAACACGCTTCTGAAGACAAACTCCTCATTGTCCGGCCCTCTATCATTGGACCAGCCCAGTGTTTTCCTTTTCCTGGATACAGTATGCCTACGTCAACTCCATCCACAATGCTAGCTGCAGCAATTGCACTAACCCCCTCCTGGAGATGCGTAATCGCGACGCGCATGGCGTTACCGGAGGCAGAGGTCACCGCAGATGAGGTTCCCGTCGATGTTGTTGTCGATCGACTTCTCAGCCATCTGGCTGCAGGACATCGTGGCTGCGTGCACGCTGTGAGTGGAACAAGAGCCCGCATGAGCTCCCAAGAATGGTGGGAATCAGCTATGAAGCTTCGCCGAATACCTTGGAAAGTGCGACCACTCTGGCTAGACCTTGATTGGAAAGACCAAAAGCAACATTCGTTTTCACGATTATGGGTAATCTTAGGAACCTCATTTTCATTTTCCGAGGGCCGAACGCTAGCACTGAGCCGCGATCTTGACCATGGAAAGCCTTCGGATCTACAGCTTTTCACTCGCATTCATATGAGTGATCATTTGATGCACAGAGAGAGACATGTTAAATATGTCATGGAAAAGATCTCCCAGAAAAGTACACGGGCTTGGTTCATTAACAATGTTTTTTATCGAAATTTTGGTCATAGCAAATGAGGGAGATTGAACACAAAGACTAAGCTATACGTCTAGCGGCCGTGAGAAAGAGGGCAAATACTTGCATCCATTGACCATGATCACCTAGCCCAGCTTCGTGAATCAAAATCTATCAAATTTGGTTATTCCGAAGGATCAGCAAATTCAAATTGTCAATGCTGAATCAATTATACCATTTGCTCCAATGGCAAGGAAGGAGAGTGAAACGGCTGTGAAGCTTGGTTGGAGGTTTTTCATGTGAGCTCAATTTACACCACGAAAGAAGGATTGTATGTTAAGGGGCTGAGTAAAAGACAACCCATGGAGAGCTGTGATCCCAGAATATCAGCCCACATAGTTCCATTCCCTGTCCATGGCTTGACACGGGGATTGGATGTAACATTAGATTAATACAATATCACGGTCGACCACAGCAGTAGTTCCATGGCTATTGCCCTGAAGCCATCTGTCAATTCTTAGAAGCGTAAGAAAAGAAGATTGGTACACACTTCCCGTGTCTACTTAGTTCCCAGGAGATCGATGTAGGTATTGCCATACGCAAAGATGAGGCTGATGGTAAATATAATTGGTCTACGGACACGTGATCGATCTAGTGAATCACTCACGATACAAGAAACTCTTTTGCGAGATTTGGGCTGTGCGAATCAGTCGCAAGCTGCACCATTGCTTGTATCTGCTTGATATTGTGTAGGCGTATTGTATTTTCTCCGATAAACGAGGTAGGCAATGAAGAATCCTGCGGTACGGCTGGTAGAGATCTAGGGTCGCAGTATGGAATGGTGTCTGCCTGTCTTTGATGAGGTGTTCGCTGCGTGGAGTAACGGGCTCATCACTGATGAGTGAGATGGAAATGACATGACTTTGTCGCCTCACCCGTCGTAGGGAAGGGCGGACTCACAGCGGTAAACGGTGATAACCGTCTTTGGTTCTTTTCTGCGGCATCCTCATGATTGTTGAAACAATGCCAACAGCCAGAAAATATTTTTCGTGTTCTTGATGACCAGGAACAAGTGCAATGTCTCTGGGGGCTGCTTTGAATCAATGATGAATTGTTGAGCCAGTTATCATTGAAGAGTGGTTTGAGCTTGAGCCCTCACATTTCATAATGATCTCATTGACGCGGGCTGAATGCTTGGCTGAATTGCTAAAATACCCGGTTCGGCGCCAGCAGAACAGGCATCATTCGCAAGTATTCCTTTGTGATTCTGGGTGAAAGAATATCGGACGTGATTCGTCTCCGTAGCTACTCTTTGGTATCGATTGACCTCCAAATCATGCAGTGCATTGAACTGAACTGTTGTATCTCAGTAGCCTAATATTTCATGATAATCAAATCTTCGAACGGTGAGTGTAGCTGCCCAGTCATTTGAAATTATGCTAACGCGGAAGATGCTCAATATTAGCCCCGCCTCCGTTATTCCGCTGAACACCCATTGAAGAATCTTTCGTGATCTGAATGGACCAAGCTGCAAGCACAGTGAGTTACAAGCTGCCTTCATGAACTGCCTACTGATGATTGATGATAAATAGATGCCATCCTTCATACAGTCCCCTGTAGCGGACAGAAATAAGTGAAAATGTAAGTTAAAGACTGCAGCAATTTCAAAGGCAGATATCATGTGCTGAAGACCCACTCTGTAGGATGAAAAAGCTTCTATCTCGAATCGCCCAATGTCTTGTAAGTCCCGCTAGTGCTTTGCCCCTACCCATTCCCAACGCCCGGTACTGCATTTCAATCTCCGTAAGAAATATTTCCGTTCGTGGCTCTCTCTTCTTCAAAAAATATCGCTGATGATTCTTTTTCTTCATAAGGAGCGTGTCAGTATTACCCTCGACCTGACAGAGCTATATTCCTCCCTCGTCTTCGAAACTAAACCAGCTTCAACAACCCAATGGGCCAAGCCACTGAGTATTACTACGCTTGCGCCTTTGTTGTTTCTGAAGAAGTGATCAATACGGTCATTCATCTGGTCTATTAGCGGGTCAAGGCAGAAAGGCTTGATGCCCTCTGGTTAGCCGTACGGTAAAATTCCGAAGTGTTTTCATTCCTCTCTTCAGCATTAACCTGTCCAGGCAAAGGTTGACAGTCAATGTATTAGTAACTCGCGACATTTTGACGGCTATGAAACTCCTGCCCCACGTCCGATCCGAAGGCTTGTTTAGGCCTGTTTCCAGGTAATGCTTTGCTAACCCACTATCTATTTGTTGTCTGACCTTTTGTCATCAGAAACTTGCATCCATATATTTGTGCAATACCAGGCCACCCATACCAATAGATAACGCAGCGGGAAGCTTCCCAAAGCTTTCCACAGTGCTATAGGGGATTATCCAGCTCTCTACTGGTAGCCGTAGAATAGGAAAGGCAAACCAGGGCAAAGTCACATATAACCAAGCCATGACCCAAATGAATCCGAGCGCCTTCTTCGACCACTGTGGACTTTTCAAGATTGGGAGGTGGTCCTCTATCATGATAATCCCAGTCGATGCTGCAAAAAAGAGGGCTACCCCAGAAAGATCATCTGTAGTACCGGTATATGCCACGCTAACTAGATGCAGCAGCCCAGATAGAGTAAAAGTAATTGTCATATCGACGTAACACCTCGAAAGGGGCAACTTGGGAAGTTTCTCGCGCATTGCTTTGGAAATCGTAACGATAGGCCAACGAATTAGTTGATGCCAGAAATCACTAAAAAGGAATTAGAACCCAGTATTCATACCAGTCAAAGGCTATCTGAAATTGACAATGATTTAGGGGGGAGACACTTGCCCCCAAAAGCGGCGAACGGTGTATGCCTCTGATAAGCTGCCAAATATCGGAGGCCAGCTATCCCACCGCGTCATGCCAGTCATCACTGCAATAATCGAGCAGATTCTGTAGAGTATATCCAATAGCATAAAGGTGGTGGGGATGAAAATGGAGATCAGAATTACTCGTATCATCGCTTGGTCCCTCGTAGTCCTTGCGCTAAGGAATTCACTCCGAGGGTAGTAGAGATGGGAACAACTGGCTTGCAAATCGGAATTAAAGCCAACGTACAGAAGATCGATGGCCATATACTGCCACGCAATGATCGATGCCTGACGGATCAAAAAACGAGTGCGCTGATTGGTGCTACCTGAGATAAAGCCATGCGGAAATGGGTGCAGACCTTTGATCTGCCACTTGGTTTGAATGCACCGTGTGCCAGTGACGAATCTAAGAGCTTTGCCCAACCGATGGAACGTATCTGGTCTCGAATCTTTGGAGTGTACATCCTCTATATTGCCCTTATCCACACCAATGATTCCAAAGATAGCGAAAAAATGTAGAATCTTGATGAAGGTGAAAAAGCTGGTAACGATTTTGACGATAGGATGAGTGTCGAGCTGGTGTTGGATAAGGATATCTGTGCAACAAAGTACAATCAGATATGAGGTGGTGATCAAACGAATAGAAGATCCTTGGATGGTGAAAGCGATGGTCCACGCGGATATTCCGTATTGGGCAATGCTGATAATGGCCGGAAGGGTGTGTTGAAATATTCCCATATTAATATTCTAGTCTGAAAATGAAATCACTGGCAAATTAGAAGAATTTTGAATAGGCTGTTCGAAGTCTTTCGTAGGAGGAAGATAAGGGGAAGATCAATCAAGTTGGGCTCAGGGATTCCGCCACACCATGGTGTCTTTAGCTTTAGTACCTTGTCGCTTCACACATTACCTCCCTAGCTCTTTGGTCTATTTTCTCTTCAAAAAATGATCCAGGGGCGCATTATGCAAATCGGAAGAATGCTAGATCGGAATGGGCCCACATAGGCTTCAGTAAATGGGCTGGGCCGAAAAATGGGAACTCATTTACCTCTGGCATGGGCCTAACCTATGGGGGCAATTCCATTCTACTTGTGAAGGGCTGAAGCAGAATTGTTGTGATATGAGGCTGGTGCAGATCAGGAACCAAGCCGAACCATCGGAATTAATCCCGAGATATCTATAGAAAGAACCAAGTTGATTGGAAATCAACTTGATCTTCTCGTTATATATATATAGCCTAATGTTTCCCTTTGAAAAAAAAGACAATTGATACCTCTGAACTACAACAAGAATTTATGTTCAATTCAACTAGGCCACGAACACAAAAAGCTTAAAGAGAGGATGATCAAGTAGGTGTTCTGCGTGTTAGGTAGTTATGGTCACGTAGGCCTCGCCAAAACCCGCCCCCTGCCCAAACCCGCCCGCGAAAACCCAGCCTGTTGAAATTATTATTATTATTATTATTATTATTAATTATTTAACGTCGCCGGCAGGTCACTTGGCAGGTGACCCGCTACCTGCCGAGGGGTAACTGGACGTGCTGCTTAAGCGAGGATTTACTACAACTAGCTAACTAGCTCAACTAAATACACGCTGGAAAGCAGCAAATTTGAGCACTACGTGCTGGGAAAGGAATCGAAGAAGCGCCAGGCACTATCCTGGCCTGGGTTCCTGGGGGTGGAGTACCCGGTCTGACTACCCACGGATGGGAGAGGGTGCCAGCCTCTCCCGTCTAGGCAGAGGTGAAGACTGTTGCGCTATGCGGCGCATGTTTGTGCCCAATTTGGGCAGATGTCCTTAAAGAAGGACGTTTCTTGCACGAAACGGCCGAATTCCTCGGCCCCAGCAGCTGTGCTCAGTATCCAGTCTATCATTGCAGATGGGCTGGCCTTTGGGCCTTTCCATCGATCCTTCCAGCGTTTCCTCGCGGGCGGGCAGAAGAAGAAGTGGACGGGGGATTTTGGCTTACCGCAGGAGCAGGTCGTAAGGGAGTTCCTGTGATGGAACCTCTCGTGGTATGCCTGGAAGTCACCATGGCCGGTCCGTGCGGCTAGCAGCCGGCCGAGCACCCCGCGGGGAAGCCTGTGTTCCCGAGCGCGGCTGCTCTTGGTGTGGGGTTGGATATTTAGGTCTTGGTATGCCTGAGGTGCGTTCCTGGTATACGCAGCACGCGTTGCCGCGCGGGTATGTTGTTTCGCTACGCGCATAAGGTAAGATGGGGAAGGGGGAATGTGGGAGCCGTCTAACGCTGCGCCCCTCTTTGCTAGCTCATCGGCAGTCTCGTTCCCTGCTATCCCGGAGTGGCCTGGCATCCAGCGCACCTCCACGGGCGTGCGGGGTGTGCTGAGGATATAGGCAGCGGATTTCCACTGGGTAGTGAGCTTTTGGAATAAGTCTGTGAGTTTTCGTCTGTGTGGTGCAGGTCTCCCGTCCGAGAGTAGGCTAGCGACAGCGAGGTTATCGAGGAGGATAACAAGGCCTGTGGAGTAGCTTGCGCAGGGTAGGTTGACAGCCGCCTGGAGGCCCTCTACTGCGCCCATAATCTCGGCGTCGTACACCTCTGTCTGGGAGCCAGCTGACCCATACCCTTGGGTGATAGGGATAGAGCCGTAGTAGACCACGAACCCGTACCCAGCCCCTCGGCTAGTGCGTGAGCCGTCCGAGTAGACCGTTAACCGTAGCGGTGCTGGTGCGTATACGGCCTTGTTTGTGTCCGTAGTAGGTAGTATGCGGAGCGGTGGAAGACGTGACTTTACACGTGCTCTCTCCGGTGCCGGCGTTGGGACGCGTTGGAGGATCCTGGTAAGTCTCGTCCTTCTAGTATCGTATGCATTGATGGTAACTCTCGCGATCGGGTGTCTAGCGTCTAGGCTCGCGTATCGGACTGCTGCCCTTTGAAGGACGCCGTCGAGGAGGGCTTCCGGGTAGGGTAGGTCTGCCTCGCGGAGTAGCGCTGAGGTAGGGGTTGTTCTGTAAGCTGGAAGGATGGCTAGAGCAGCGAGCCGGAGTAGGGAGCGTAGGGAGTCGATGAGGCCCTTCTGCCCTTGGCCGGTGTAGAAAACCTCCGCGCCGTATAACGCTGTCGGTATCACGCACTGAATGACCGCTGCGCGCATAGAGGCAACCGGGCATCCTCGCTGGGTGTTGCTGAGCTTCCGCAGATGTAGTGCGAGCCGCTTGCCCCGGCTGAAGACCCAGTTGATGTGTGGTCGGAAGGTGAGCTTGCTGTCCAGTAGGACGCCTAATCAACGGGTATATGGGGATGGCTTAATCTCGCCTACCCCTGGTAGAGTGACCGTAGGCGCGGACAGCTTCCGCTGCTTCGAGAAATGTTGGATCTCGGTCTTCTCTAGGGAGAATGGGAGGCCTGATGCTGCTCCAGATAGAGTGATCGTTTTGTATACTTCTACTAGCTGCTGGGATGTCTCCTCAAGGGAGTCCCCGACGAACAGTAGCCCTAGGTCATCCGCGTAGCAGAAGGAGTTATCTTGTGAGGAGACTATCTTCGCCGCATATAGGAGGAAGAGGACTGGGGACAGCGGGGACCCCTGTGGGAGGCCTACTCTTATCTTTGCGGTGGCGGTAGCGTCTCCGACCTGGACCGAAACGGAGCGGTCGGATAGCCAGTCGCGTCCAAAAGACATTAAGTAGCTTCGACAGGCCTACTTGCATAGACCACTACCCCAGTTTTTCACCCGATAATGAGGCTTCTGGACTCTTGAGGTTCACCAGGCCTCTCACCCTGGGTGTCTCTTAGTTTGCTCCTTAAGCATACATCACGGGCAGGCCAACTAGGACGACACCGCATCAACCGACCTAGGTCAGTCTCAGGCCCCCAGTGCGAGTGAGGTAGTTGACTCCCGTCTCTTTGTACACCGACACGCGCATCCGTCCTCTCGGGCTATACAGACAGTCTCTTGGCAGGACCCAGCCCTACCACAGTGGCTGCCATTGTACACCACGCCCCGCGAAAGCTTGCGCTCTCGTTTCGCGTTACCTGGGGAGGTCTCCCTCCGCTAGGCCGACCGTGTCTTGCAGAGAGCCCTCGTATACGCTCCAGCCGGCAGTGTATGTCGGTTGCTCTCTACTAACCAAGCTTGGTCCCCAGCGACTGGACAGGGCCGATGATTTACCCGTGGCACAGCCTTAACTAGCTTCATCAGTTGCCATCAGTCAACCACCAATATCTTCCAGATTGCCCGTGTGTCTCCCAAGAGGGTTGCCCGTGTCTCGGCGGTGCCCGTGTCTCGAAGGGCAGCCGCACCAGAGCTTGCCCGTGGCTTCGCCTTAACGAGGTCTCCAGTAATCGACGTCTCCGAGCCTTAACGAGTTCGAGTCATAACGAGGCCTCTGGGCCTTGAACGAGGTCTGTCCGATGTTAGCTTGACTGCCTGCGTCGCTGGTTCACTACCGCCTCGCCGCATCTCGCACGATGCGATCCCAGACCGTATGCAAGCTCAGGGGTGTCCTGTCTTCTTCCTAGGGCGACACCACTTCAACTGGTAATGCAAGACCAGCGTCTGGGCCCGAGTGCGAGTCGGGTAAGAAGAAGTCGGATGGTTTTCATATGCCGTTTTCCCCTGCCAAGAGACATAAAGTAGCTTCGGCAGGCCTACTTGTATAGACCACTACCCCAGTTTTTCACCCAATAAACGAGGCTTCTGGACTCTTGAGGTGGACAAAGCCTCTCACCCTGGGTGTCTCTCAGTTTGCTCCTTAAGCATACATCACGGGCCAATCAACTAGGACGACACCGCTTCAATCAGTTTCAGCTGATCTCAGGCCCTCAGTGCGAGTGAGGTAGTTGGTTCCCGGCTCTGTGTACACCGACACGCGCATCCGTCCTCTCGGGCCATACAAACAGTCTCTTAACAGGCCCCGACCCTGTCGCAGTGGCTGCCATTGTACACCACGCCCCGCGAGAGCTTAAACTCTCGTTTCGCGTTACCTGGGGAGGTCTCCCCCCGCCAGGCCGACCGTGTCTTGCAGAAAGCCCTTGTGTACGCTCCGTCCGGCAGTGTACGTCGGCCACTTTCCACTAACCAAGCTTGTCCCCCGATGTCTGAGCAGGATCGATGGTTTGCCTGTGGCAATGCCTTAACGAGGTCCATCGTTTGCCACCAGCCAAATACCAATCCCTTCCAGAACGCCCGTGTATCTCCCAGGAGGATGCCCGTGTCTCGGTGTTGTCCGTGTCAAGAAGAGGAGCCGCGTCAAAGGTTGCCCGTGGCCAGGCCTTAACGAGGTCTTTCGAGGCGGTCTCTCCGAGCCTTAACGAATTCGAGTCTTAACGAGGTCTCCTGGGCCTTGAACGAGGTCTGTTCGAGATTAGCTTGACTGCCTGTGTCACCGGTTCACTACCGCCTCGCCGCATCTCGCACGATGCGAACCCAGACCGTATGCAAGCTCAGGGGTGTCCTGTCTTCTTTCTAGGGCGACACCACTTCCACTGGTAATGCAAGACCAGCTTCGGGGCCCGAGTGCGAGTCGGGTAAAAAGAAGTCGGATGGTTTTCGTATCCCGTTATCCCCTGATTTTGGTGTGGTTGTGCGGTCGCTTCCCGCACCGGGCCGAACCGCACAACCACGGCGGATTCAATTTGGTCTCCTACACGAGGATTAACACCGGACACCACGAGAAGGTATGAATCCATTGTCCCAGCAGCCTGGCTAGGACTGCTGCCCAGTGCGAGCTCACTGGGGCCCAGCCTGTTGAAATATCCCGGTTGCTGAGATAATGATAAGGCTGGGATCACGTGCATACATATATACTTGACTCAGTCTACTTGTATCTTAGACAACACAGATAACATATGTAACACAACACACAATCAACTCCCCTCAATAACATGAGCATTGAAGCATCACTTAATAAAACAACAAAATTGAAAACCCAACCCAAACCCGCGTTTGGCGAGGTCTATGGTCACGTGGCACACGTGACCTTATACCGGGCACTGGCCCGTGACATTTTGTCCCCTTATGTCTATGGACAGGCCCATGTCAAAGTCTAATAACCACTACCCTACCCTGATCCTTATACATAGCCAATAGACCATTCAAGACAATAGTTATTTATCCATAAATAAGAATATTCCATAAAAATATGAGAGAAGATAGGAAGAAGGGTAGGTAGTATATGTTTTAACCAAAACAGGGGTAAAGGGAGTGGTGCCCTGAAACGAAGGAACGGAGTGAAAGGGTTTACAAACCCTGCGTAGCTGGAACTTATTGGGTGTAGGCAGACTTTTGACGCCACGGGTTCAACAGCTAAATTTCGCGCCAAGCTTTGTCCTTATTCGCCGCGTTCCTTGGGGATGCACGTGGGACGTCCCTCGCCTACCGCTTTCTTTGGCTTCACTATCCTGTTTTGTCTACCAGGTTCATCCTGGTAGGTCGCCCTGTTTCCCCTTCGGCCCAATTATCCCACAACTCTTCTCTTGTTACCTACTCGTTACTTTATCCCTCTTGCTTCGCTCTTGCTATTGGACCGTTCTTCTCCTTTAATTGAACATGTCACATATATGTGCTTTCTGTTTCTTCTGTCCCCGTTCTTGCAGGCCCTTACAAGACCTTGTGTTGTTTTCTTTCCCGTGCCCGATATAGCTTATACCACAGCCTTCTGCTTCGATAATTATCACTATCATTTCTCATGGACTCCACTCCTGACAATTCCGTGCTGTGCTCCCGCTGTTCGCGATCTACGGCAACGCCTCTGTATAGAACTTGTCCCGCCTGCCGCGAAAAGTCCCGCCTCCAGAGACTTCATCGTCGTTTGCTTGCTACTGGTGGGGGACCGACGTCCGTCTCTACCATACAATTTTCCCCTCAGTCCGCGGCTTCGCCCCAACCTGTGCAACGTACGCTCTGCTCACATTGCGCCCAACCCTGGCAGTCTCCCCGGTATAAAACATGTGATCGTTGCCGCCGGTGGAAACAGGGGCAGCGCCGGCGCCGGCTCGCGAACATACCGGAAACTCTCTCGTCTATGGAGCTTACCGCTGCCTCTCGAGACGGCTTTTCTGCTCCCAGTGTATCTCACCTACATCGGAGAACCCGGTCTTTGCCCATTCAACGACAAAATCATACTAGGCAAAGAATACTTCAACCACGGACGCACCACGACGCTCTGCACCAGGCCATCGGTTTCCTGTGTGATGAATATCGCCACCATGCATTTGCTTCCCAATCATTCCCGCCTGATATATCGCCTTCTGATATACGGAAATCCGTTTCCCGATACGAGGAAGAGACTTCAACAGCTACGAAAGTATCTGTGTGTAGTTCGTGCGGGAGATTTGTTTTACTTGCTGATCTACACTATATGGACGACGAGGATCCTTTGCTACTGCCCCTGAATGGTTTTCTTGATCGCTGTGGCCGCCATGAACAATCCTGGGGGGTGTGCTCTTCCTGTCACGGAGCTCTTGCTCGTGCGGCCATCCCCAAATTCTCCGCCAGAAATCTGGTCAATGTTACTCTCTACCAGAATTACCCACCCCCCCTAGAGGATCTTACCTTGACTGAAGAGTATACTATCGCAAGATGTCATCCGCTAGGTCTGATTTTGAAGTTACGTCCAGGCAGTCGCCTTTCCTCTGTCAGCCACCGTGCGCTGCGAGGTCATTTCATTGTCATCCCCCAGGATCCTGGTCCGCTGCTTCAAATCCTGCCAAGTGCGGAATTAAGGTTGGACAATCTCATCAAAGTTTTCTGGGTAGGGGGTCGTCCCCCATCAGACAGTGACCTAAGACCATATCTGGTTATTCGGAAAACTAAGGTCCTAGAGGCTTTGCAATATCTCGTTCAACATAATCGTTTGTATCGTGGGTTGGTAATTAATCAACCGATGATGGATACCTGGAGCGACGAATTCATCCCATCCGAGCTACGGGATAATATTATCCCACTTCACGAGCCAGACCACCGTGAACGTGAGGGATACACTGTCAATCTGGCGCAGGGTAATTTTGAGAATGATCTCCAAGAAGCACAGCACGAAGCCACACATAATCAAAGTTTGGACCCTGATAGTGCTACACACTTCCTAAGTGGCTCCGTTTCCACAGACATCAACGGTGAACGACAGAACCCTGACGTACGTATGCTGGACACTTTATTTGATGTGGTCACCAATAATTCACGCACATCCGGACAATGCGACATAGACAGTCCCGACGATACTTACAGCCGCTCCATTGCCGACCAACGGATGCCAGCAATTTCTTATACAACCCGTGCTCGGGTCGCATTAATGGATCCGTGGTCGGATGCTCATTACTTTACTGCCGCCTTCCCCACCCTGTTTCCGGAGGGGGTCGGCGGCCATTTAGATGAGCGTGCTATCCCGGTGTCTCTGGGCTCTCTTGCTGAGTGGGCTCTAAATCACCATAGCAGAAGGTGAAAGGACTTGGTGCAGTGATTTTGCGCCTAAGCTAACAATCGCAGGTTTGCCCTCCACAAGACTTTTATGTATCTACTATTCGACAACTTGCAGCTTCGGAGATCGTCCTTAGGCAATGCGTTCCTGGTTAAACGGGCGACATTGGAGCTCTGCTGCACATGACATCGCCTCCTTGACCGTGGACCAGCTGCGAAAGGCCGCAGACGCCATATCTTCTGGCCAAAAAGTCGATGACCCAGTTCTTCGGCGCCTTCAACAACACATTCTAACTATTGGTATGCATGTTCCTGGATCTTTCTCCCAGAAACTGAGGATGCGCTCTGAGATTCGAGGCTTGATTATTCGGTATGGAATGCCTGCCTTCTGGATTACCATTAACCCCTCGGACTTACGGAATCCCCTTGTCCTAATCTGGCGGGCGTAGAATTCCCTGGAGCTATCCCGGCAGGAACTCACACCGCGATCCGTGACACTGTCGCCACTAGTAACCCGGTCGTGGTTGCTGAGTTCTTTCATTGCATTTGTAAAGCAGTCTTACGAGGCCTACTTGCCACTAGGACTGGCCAAGTCGGCATCCTTGGCGATCTGTCAAATCATTATGGTGTTGTGGAAACCAACGGCCGAGGTATGCTGCATATGCATGCCCTTCTGTGACTCAGAGGTAATCTTGCCTTTACCGCTTTAAGGAATCGCCTTGTTACCGATATTGAGTTTGCCACTCGCATGATCCGCTACCTCGAAGCGACTATCGTCCAAGGAATCGACGAGACTATTCCGCATGACCCGGATATACCCCTTCCTAGCAAACCACCATCGGCAAAGGAGCGGGAAACGACGCTGATTTCTTCCTCAGATTGTCGAACGACAGCAACTCCGTAGCACAAAAAACCCAGATACATTCCAAATATCACCATTCAACCTGCTTCAAATACCGCCAGCGTGGTTCGGGCAAAGATGCTTGTCGGTTCGGCATGCCCCGCGATCTGATCCCCATGTCCAAGGTAGATGACTTTGGCTTGATCCACCTCGCACGCAATCATCCCTGGATTAATCCGTGGAACCCCACCATTGCCAGCTGTGTCCGCTCTAACCACGACATCTCTTGGATCCCGACAGTGTTCAAGTCCTTGTCTTTAATCTATTACATCACCAATTATACCACGAAGGACGACGTTTCACCATGGCAGATTGTGGCAAAAGCAGCCCTGTTGAAACAACGAATTGACAGAGCACACGCAACCGAATCTCCAACAACAACCGATCTGCGGCTTCGACAGCAGGGCTTGGACAAATTTGCACTTCGCTGCTTCAATACCCTTGCACATGATCGGGAGATCAGCGGCGTCCAGGTGGCAAGCATTTTGCTCAACCTACCAACTTACTACACAGTCAGCTACAACTTCAACCGCATCAATCTATGGTGGCTTAGACGGTATGTGCGTCAGATCATTGAACCTACTAATGTCGATAACGGTGAATCATCCAGTCCTATGAAGGAAGAACGCTGCGCATATGAAGCTGGCAGAACTGCTCCAATCAGCATATTTGATAACTATAAATGGCGTGGGCCATATCTTGCTTGCCTCACACTCTTCGAATATTGTATGCTCGTACGACCCAGGCATGTCCGAGATGCGATTGTAGACGACCTCTGCTTTGACCTGCCACACCCTCAAAGCAAGACTCATATGCAACGCCTGGCTCGCGACTCATCACAGGTCGCCACTGTCAACTTTAACGGGCAGCTAACTGAGTTTCAAGCCACAGAGGATGCCGTCCCTGGAGGCCATCCGAAAATGGTCGCAAGTATGAATGACCTGGCGGAGATATTACTCGGGTTATTTGTTCCTTGGGATCGGTTGCCCGTACTTTTCCAGGAACATGCCGTTGCCGTAGAGCCGAAACGGAATGCTTGCTCTCAAATATGGGCTATCGTTGAGCCCACCCTCCAGCCCTATAACCGAACCTTTGCGGGGAATGTTGAACTGCTGCGAAAGTCCAAAGAAGACGGCGAGGCTGATGCGAAGCTTCGACAAGTACCGATTGGAGTTGACTCTATATTCGACCGCGATCTTGATGAGCTTGGAACAAGTAACTTTGACTCCGATGCTGACGAAACCATCGACAATCTGGATGAAAGTGTGAATGTCGAGACTCTAATCGCCGCCTATCACTCCGTCACAAAGACTTGGGACCATGAAATTCTCATCACTGAGCGACGTGTCCCTTCTTTGGTACACACGATTACTCGGAATCGAGGTGCACTGCTACAAAACCTTCTACCACTCAATCTCTTTGACATCACTGTGTCTGGGACCTCTGGTCTCAGTTTCTTTTCGTCGTCCACGTTGCAGCAATGGGAATCTCGACTCAAAGAACTTGCCAAACTTGGTGAACTTGCTCCAGTGCACAACGATGCAATAGGGTCAGCGTATGATATAGATGACTTCACTTTAAATGTAAATGATGGCATCTTGGAGCCTACGCTCAATGAGCCGATCGCGATTCCTATCCTACTGGACCAGCGGTCAGTTGTTGACACTTCGAACCCTGCCTCTTTAACTTTGCTCGTCAGCGAGTTTATTCCGTTAAACACGAAACAGCGTCTCGTCGTTGAAAAGGTGCTAAGCGGGGCATTAGGCTGGGCGAACCATCCTTACGATCCTTCGAAGCGAGATCAGACTCTCCTTTATATCGGGGGTGAAGGGGGTGTGGGCAAGAGTCAAATCGTCAAAGCCATTTTGACCGGGATGGATCTAATTCGCCGCAAAGAAGAGGTGATCGTGATGGCCCCCACTGGTGCCGCAGCGGACAACATTGGTGGTAACACGTTCCACACATCTCTGGGAATTTCTATTACCCGTAATCAAGGACATACCATAACTTCTCGCGTGAGAAAGCTCTGGTCCCGGAAAACAATTATGATCATTGATGTAGTCAGCATGCTGGATCTAAGTATGCTTAGTGTCATTAACAACCACTGCAAAATGGCGCGATCCCTCGATCAACGTTCGCCCGACTTATTCGGCGGTTTACCTATAGTCATTCTCATGGGTGACTTTTTCCAGTTTCCACCTGTTCGAGGCCCTGCATTGTGGAAGGAACCAAGAAGGGAGAATGATACGGACGAGAACGGTCGACTCATATGGCATCAATTCAGAGATGTGATTGTCTTGGACGAGCAGATGAGGCAATCCGCGGACCCCTCATTTCGATGCCTCCTCTCCCGAGCAAGGACATCGACTTTATCCGAAGGCGACCTACGCCTGCTAAACTCTAAGGTCGTCACCTCCTTGGTGGACCCTCAGCTGGACGCTGCGACGACAGTGGTAAAGCTCAATTCCCTTCGTCACCAGATCAATCGTATTAGGATGGAACACTTTGCCAAGGCTCGCTGCCAGAAGATCTACGCCTTCCCTGCTCATCACACACGAACCAAGTCCACTAATCCAACCAACCCTCGCTTGCGTGTCGACGACTTGCTCCGACAACCGGATCAAGGCACTATGATCCCCTTCCCGGGAATATTTCTGTACACACGGAATATGCCTTCAGTCATATTATCAAATATTTGTACTCGGTTGGGACAAGTCAATGGGGCGACCGGTACCGCTGTCGGTGTTGCCGTTGACCCGGCAGGCGAGTAGTCCTCCCTTACGCAGAAACTTAAAATCTAACGCTAAATTGTCTTAGCCGAGTTCTATAACATTGACGATCTGTATTTCCTCTGCACTAAACCTCCTGCGTGTGTTTTATTTGAGCAGGGCAAATCAAGCACGTTAGGTTTCGAAGGTCTTGCGCCTGCTATCGTTCCTGTCTTCCCCCTAGAAAGATCAATCACTCTGCAGGGTTACTCTGTCCGCAGGAGACAAGTCCCTATGTGCCCGGCGTTCTGCCTCACAGACTACAAAGTTCAGGGTTCAACACTTAACGCCGCGATTCTGGATCTTAGAGATGACCCAACGATACGCGGTCGAGACCGCCACCAAAAGTTCTGCTCAACTTACGTACAATTGTCCAGATTACGAACGTCCGAAGGCCTCCATCTTCTGCAGGAAATCGAAATGAAGGACCTCCAATTCGAACCTGATCCCCGCATTCTCGCAGAAATGCAAAGGCTTCAGGACCTGGAGAAAGTGACTTTAGGTGTTTGGAAGCATTCAACTTAACGATTTCGTTTCCCGTATGTAGTACTACTTATAAGGCATATCATCATTTTCGCGCACATTACCGATACCGCTTACACTATCCTTCGAGGCTGCGATCGGTACACAGGCTAAATCTCCCCTTCTCCTGCTTCAGCTTATAAGAATAGAAATATTCTCAGACCTTAACAAACCACTGAATGCTTAGCAAAGACACTACAAGTGACAGTTACAACACTCCACTAGGAAATCAAAGCCTATAGTAGTTCTCTATAGATGCGATGATCACTTCTTCTATCTATCATTATACGTTCATATATATGCTATAGGCGAAAGGGAGCTGACCGAAACTACCAATAGTAGATCATTACCCTACACCAATGAGTCTAACACCTCCGCAAATCATTTACTTCCACGTGCTACATGCGTAACTGACAAAACTTAAAGTCATCCACTAATTTTCTTTACGAAACCAGCGGTGAGATACATTTAGAACATGTCATATTTCTGTTCGTATCTAAAACAGGGATCTCTCTCCAAAACATATCTTACCTAGATAAACAAGAGTCTCTCTTGCCTGCTTCTCCTTCTAACCTACAATCACTCTATAAACCCCGCTAGAACGAGCATACTCTATTTCGGCTGCTTTTCCTGGGTGATCTTTATCTACACCTGACAACGTTATGCCTTCAAATTCAACTTACCCGGCTGTTATTCATATTCGGGACTTTGTCGAACATATCGAACCGGACCCTACACGCCCTGGTAAGGGGCAGTCCATGCAGCTCCGTATCTCCCTCAACATACCTTTAAAGGACATTCAATCAGAGGATGTCGAACACGATGAGATTCCCACTCTGATCAGGTTTTTTAATGAGGGTAACCAGCCTGACCTTTATAAGCCGAACACTTTTGTCTATTCCTCAGGATCTTTCCTGACTACTTCTGACAATGATGAGGAATTTCATATTATTATCCATGCTCACACTTTGCACCGGTGAGTTTACCTTATCTGCTACAGAGCTAAATTAACACAACTAGTCATCCGGGAAATGAAGAAGATACTGAAACATATTTCATGCACTGCCCCGAAGCTGCTCAGCCTACAGTGACATTTCTCGGTATTGTTCTTGAACGTGGTGGTGAACTAAACGGCGGGCCAACTCTTCTTCACTACCGTTTCCGGACTACTGTTTACAACAGTTCCACTCGAACCTATCACACCTTCCCAGTCACCGTGTACTTCAAAAACGGTCCGCGATGGGCCAACTTTCCAGCACTAAACATCAATTCCTATGTTTTCTTGACGGGTCGCATTTTCGGCCTCACAAAAAAACATCGCCAACTAGCCGTCGTCACGGATGATATTCATTTCCTCCCAACACCAACCCATCATTTGCCCGCTACCCCATCCTCGACTGGTAAACGGAAGCGTGTTGGCCGTTGGTCCCAACGGGCAGGCCCTCAAACCCCGACTAAATCGGCGCCAAGTTCGCTGACCGATTCCCTTCCTTTCGTCCATCCACGACTAGATTTCTCTGCTACAGTCTCCCTTGATGATGAGGATGAGGGCGCTACACAAATTACCTGGCCAGTAAGTGCCGACGAAGACGAACCCTCGCCACCAGCTACCACAGCACCTCCAGAGACGCGTTCTCGGAGACAACGAAAAACATAATACGTTTTTATACTTGCGCGATCCACGTAAAAATGGTCGTTTAACAGCTTACTAATATTTCTGCCTTCCGAAGCGTTGCGGCGGTTAGTCATGTCGTGTTTGTTCTCATTGGTCACCGCTCATTTGCTTTGTGAAGTGTCTTGTCGAGCAAATCAAAGTCCCATATTCCTTATACTGCCTCATCCCTGCCTTTCCTTTCCATCGTTTCAGGGCCACAGCGTGCGAAAGCGCGCGTCACGAGTTTTATTGGGGTTGCCTCACAATGCCTGTAGCCTCACGTGATATCTACACCGACATTACTGAGGGCCTCTTCCTCCCACAACTGCTTCACGAGAGTCAGTTGCTTGCCTCTGCGGGTAGCTCGTCATCTCTCACGCAGTCAAGTCTTGATTTTGTCCCTCCCGCCTTCCCTCTTTATATAGAATCCACTACAATACAAACACATTGCCTCCCTTCAGGGGAGCGCGGACGGGCCGTATCTGACGCTACGGTCTACGACCGCAGCAACAGGTGACCCGTTACGGCCAAACTACACTCTTCTTGCTTCTCTTGACTGCGTGAGGTCACCAATAAATGATAGAATTAATATCAGATGACTCAGCAGTCCATATCACAAAATCAGGTCGAATCAGGGCAGAACTAGTCTGTGCCATGGCCCGCAAATGGGTAGGTCAAGTCAACCCGCAACCCGTCCCATGCGGGATGCGGGTTCGGTGCGTTCACCCATGTTGTGATATGAGGCTGGTGCAGATCAGGAACAACGCCGCACCATCGGAAATAATTCCCCAAATGCCTATATGAAGAACCAAGTTGATTGGAAATCAACTTGGTCTTCTCGCTGTATATATAGACTCAGATGTTCCCTCTAGAGAAAGAACTTAATTATATACCTCTGAACTACTACAACCCACGCTAGCCCATCTGGGTCGTCCGATGATGAGCCTCGGAAAAAGGGGCCAACCCATGCCAAAGCCTAACGGAAACAATAATATGGGAGATTTTCATGAAAAATTGAGTATAGGACACGGAACGAACAAATAAAATGTGTGGGATAAGTGAGCCCTTGTTCTCGCAGACTGGGGTCCCAAGGCCCTAACCTCCAAACCAAGTAGTTTGGAGTTACCGCTAACTAAAGGGAAGTAAGGGCACAGTACAGCAATGAGCTTTAGTGCCCATGTATAGGCGACTTCACCTTCCACGCCGCTGTAGGAAGGTGAGAAATAAAAAATATGAGATCAAGCGGTAGACTGTCCCGATCAGAAACAACATCCTTGATCTACTATTAGCATATGGCCCAGGATCAAACGTCGCAAATCAAACGTAACGCAGAGAAGGCATACCATAAATCAAACCCCGTCCTGCCTGTGATGAACCCTGTTACCTCTGCCGCCGGTCCGATATTATATAGATAAGACAGTGGGGCCGTATACTCATTGAAATTGGCTTCCGATAACCACACCTAGAGCGACTCCCAGTTAACGAGCCAGTATTAAGGAATGGTACGCAAGAACATACACCAGGGCAAATATACCACAGCCACGATAAGTTCCATCCCTTGACCGTCGCCAGACGCGGCGCACACCCAGACAGGGCACAGAAGAAAACGCTGACCAGCATGGTAATCATAGGCCCATTTTTTGGTGATGTTACAGCCGATATTATACTAGCTGCTCCATAAACACCTTGTCTATTATTTAGCAGTTGATCATTCAATAATCCATAAGGAAGCATACAGTAAAAATACAACAGGTTGAGGACGAGCTGGGTTGGAAACGACGTAATTGGCGTCGTAAGTATTAAGTAGAATGCCGTGAAGTGTAAGGTCGATAAAAACATTCGAACCAGAGTGGAGAGTACTTTGCCGAGGAAGTAGGCGCTCTCGGAGTAGCCAGATGAGGATTCCCTGTGGAAGACGAGTTCTACGACCATATTGTTAGACTTCTGTAGATGAGACATGAGCCACGATGAGACACTTACTCTCTTCGCCAAAGGTTTTGACGCCGGCCGGGCCAGCCGCACATCCTGAAGGGAAGGGTTAGTAATATTACTTGTTATTTGGAACTGGGACATCCTACCAATTGTTAGGCAGAGTAGCATCCCTTGCTCTGTGAGAAGTCGGTAGCTCACAGGGCTCGATAATAGCTGGAATGGGGAGTGGAAGAACCCTTGAAAAAGATGTCCTTTGAATTCGTAATTGGATAGCCCGATGAGAAGGCCTGTGCCTGCGCCAGTTATAATTTCAAGTAAAACGCTAGGGTATTGTCTCGTTTGTTGCTTCATGCCCCTTATGAAAGCCAAGAACACTTGATGATGCCACAATGCACGTCTTTGCCTGCAGTGACGTATTAGTTCACGTAAATCTCTTTGTGGTGGTTCAGCGCTTGTTTCGCGAACATGGACAAGGTCAATATTGTCATGACAGGACATGATATCCATCATCGTATCGGCCGGATTGGAGGTCTCTGGGAAATCATATCCCGAATCCAGGAAGAACTGTCTTGCGCTCGCAGCCGCACCAAAGTAGATCTGTCGTCCCCGGTTTAAGAGCAGAAGATCGTCAAGAGACGCGAAAATCTCGGGTCTGGGCTGATGAATCACGCAAACTATAGTGACTCCATGACTCGTCAAGGACTTTAGGAGCTCGATTACCGAAAGAGCGGTCTTCGCGTCTAGACCTGATGTGGGCTCATCGAGGACGATGATGCTGGGCGCAGCGGCCAGCTCCAGCGCGATATTGACACGTTTCCGCTCGCCTCCTGAAAGACCTCTCTTCCCCACTTCGCCGACAAGTCTTTGGCGTACATTGCTGAGCCGCAGACTAGATATAAGATTGTCGACATATTGCCGGATTTCTTTGTCCGTCTGCGACCGGCCGAGTCGGATTCGTGATGAGTATAGAATATTCTCCTCCACTGTCATATCAGGGAGCATTATATCATCTTGAGGTACGAGCGCCAGTAGATCGCGTAACCTATTCAATGTCAAATCTCGGACTTGTAAATTCCACTCAGGAGAAGAATAGGATATGATTACTCAGCTGCTTGGCCAATCTCACCATTGACGAGGACCGATCCGGTAGTTGCTTTGATCCTTCCAGTCAGTATGTTGACTAGAGTTGCTAAAGAGCCACGTCAGTCACAAAACAGATACCGGGGTTTTCAGAAAGATTTGAGGAGACTGACATTTTCCTGACCCAGATGGCCCCATCACCCCCAAGAAAGACCCCGCGGATATTACTCCATCTTGTAAGCACAAGGTCTCCAAACCTGACCTCGTTGGACGCATGCTGAGACTGTGAAATGCCACATCGATACCGCGAATGGCATCATAAGAGCCAACTCGGCCGAAGAACTGACTGACGTACAAACTGCTTTCAGCGGGGTCTAAATGTATGCTCTTGCGTGTGGTCGTTCCGCTGCACTCAACTTCTTTCTCTGAGACTGGTACTCCGGGAACCGCTGGCAATAGACTCGTCTTCCCACGTAATCGTTTCAATATCCAGCCAGATACGAATGGCCAAGCAACCAAAGTGATAACAACGACATCGAACGAAAAGGCACAAAGCAGGCCAGCGGTCGGAATTTCCCTTATGCTGCCTTCTGGGCATGCGGAAAGTCCAAAGCACTGAAAAGGCTCCACTGTCCCCAAAGGGCAGAAATGTCCTTTGGGACATGGGATCTGACTTTTCCCGCCAGATGGACAGTAGTAGCCTGGCTGGCAGACAGTCGGCTCGTATATACCTTGTGCTTGATTGCACATGTTGTGATACTCTTGAAGCTGTGTCAGACGGCACTGGGGGGTGGGGGGGCATATCTCCCGTGGATTTTCTAAACTGTTGTTTGGGCAGTAAAACCCATCCAGACAGGTCACCGTAGATGACAAGGTGGCCCCATGCTTTCTCGAAAGACATGTTGTATTGGGTGAGGGAGACATCTGTATACAGGTGTGAAATTAAAGTGAATGTAAGAAAAAACCCCTTAAGTTTAATATGGATACAGTTGATAATGGCTCAGACAAGCTTACGCAAGGGAAATTATATCAAAAAAGAGAACTTTGATTGCTCATGATGACTAACTAGTTAACGCAAGGGGTACAATTGTTTCATTGTCGCGGACGCTGCCATCACGATGCCTTGCATTATTGAAAAAGTGTTTTCTACAAAGCGGTATGTGATATCGGAATGTTCCACTGTCTTGGTGAATTTCCTCGATCGAATTCCATATCACACCTATTAGCTTATTTGGATCATTACTTGGTCGAAGCTGTCGGCAGCTGATCTGCCGTGCAGGGGAAGGGCTACATAATAGCGTGGAAACAGAAGAAAGGGACAAGATCTGTATTCCGAGAGATGGAGGAGAGAAGAGAGAGATAGAGATCTAGCTAAAGATATGCACGCGCTGACAAACGGAGGGGGTCAGCTGACCCCATATACTCCATAGACGCATATATGGTTTTCCTTTGTGTTTTACCCGATTCTCATTAGATACTGTTGGAATATGGTGCTAGGTGACCCCGGTTTTTGCTCCAGTGTTTCTTTGTCTATACAGTTCTTTCCCTCTCTCTTCTTCCTTTCTCCGTCTATCTCGAAATACAGATCTTGCTCCATACTATGTGCATCCATATTTCTACGGCCGATAGCAGTATCCAGCGGTGGACAGATATCTAATCAACACGCTTATTTGTTTCTCCATGATGTATTAAATTACATAGCCACGCAAAAACTTCGCAATTTTAAAGCAACATGATGAAAGATACCGGATACATCTGTATGATCGATACCGAGTTTTACAATTTGAAAATGATAGAATTAGCCCTAGATATTTTTTCAAGCATAGCCGTTACGTGGCGAGCGCTTGGCCTTAAATCCTTTTTTTTCCGAGCTTGACCTCCGTCAGCTCAAAGCTTTCAGGCACAAAATACGACGTAATTGTCAACTCGCCAGATTGAAACATGCAATTGATGTACGCATGCATATGACTTTATGTTAGCCTTCTGTCTTCAGCTAACCCATCCAGTATATGAAAAGAGTTCTAGCAATACTGGCTGCGGCCCTGAGCCGCCATCCAGTGAGTGATTGCCTTCGCAGTCCTTAGGTCGTCTCGTGCGTAGTTCCGAAGAGGCGCATAAAATTTGACCCGGGGGAACTCCCCAGCCACGTCAAAATAGTAGATATAGTCACAGAGGCCATTAAGGGCCTCGCTGAAGTTCTCTCTGGCAGATGGTCGGGGCTGATTGGCCAGAGAATCTCGGCGTCCTCTGGGCAGTCTTCAGGTAGGGACGTAAATGCCCTCATCAGATCTAACAGATGACCGGGATTACGGTCGAGACCATTGATGAGGTCTCCCAAAGTCATTATGTCACAGACCGAGGACCTACTAGTCCGCGGGGTGTGAAAGTAATACTTCAACCGGGATACCGATGGGTCAACATCATCGATGGCGACCAAGATGGGGTTGAATACTTCGTGATGGCTCTCGAGAAAAGGATTGAGATTGTCCAAAGCGAGATAACGAGGCTTCAACACGCGAAAGTTAATCTCCACTCAGGCAGAAGCATGAGACCCCTCTGTGCGAGCTCTTGCGGACAAAATTAAGATTGAGCCTCGATTCATGTGTCCAGAGACTCAAGACACTTTCCTGTTGAGGTCGCCCATCTAGTGCCCGATTTTGCCCGCTCCGTGTAATTTGTCTTGTTGTGGTCGTAGAATGCCGATAGAAAGTACTGGGGTACAGTAAGATCGAGTCCAGGAATGATGTGCAGCAGATGGTGCAGGAGCTCCTATACAGGAGTGTGACTGAGGGGGTCCAACGCTGTCCCTGGAAATCGATCGTTCGGATCGAACGTGAAGCGTACATCCGGCTTCCATATTAGCGAATTCCATTTCTAACAACACTCAACGGGGATTCCATCGCAGGTCAGGCGAAACTTCCACGGAACACAGCCACCTTTGTGGGGCTGAGGGCCGAGATAAGGAGCCTGGAAAGTAGGGTTAGCACGATGTCACCTTTTCAAGGGTGGAGGGCCGAGTAGAACTAGGATATCAAGAACCATACGATCCAATGGTAGCGGAAGACGAGATACTCCTATTGCTTTTCTGGGGCATGGCTGGCTGCTTCCAACAATTCAGCGAGATGCTGCCCCGTGACCGCCCACCAGTGGTTTTGATCCAGATTCCTGGATGGAAGCATCTTTAAAATTTTCTTCCATACTGAATTTGTCGGACCCGACTTTGCTGGCTGGTGTTTGTTTGGTCCATAACAACAGACACCTCGAAGTTGGGGCTAGGGAATTCAGTGATACTTCGACCGGGACAGTCATGTTATGAGAATCATTATTTGGATCTGAATGGTCCTAAAAGATTATGCTTGAGGACGAATTGAACTCGAGCTATTTCTAGCTTAATGCTCTGGCCTTAAATGTATCCTAAACGCGGGATATATATCATGTGACATGGCGATTGTAGTGCAGGGAATCAAACCAGTCAACTATTCTGTGAGGTATGTCTGTAAAGATGCAGTATTACTCCCAGTTGTCAATCCATTTCCTTGCATTGAATGGTCTGATAGGTATTGGGTACTGATAAATTGAACAGCGTGTAAATCGTTTGGAAGGGTAAAGTTAAACCAAACGCTCGATACCCCTGACTTGTCCAAATTCATAACCCTTTACATCACTGCATACCTTAAAGTGTAAAGTGCAGTAGCCATTATGATCATATGGTTCGATCGAGACGATATGGCGTAGCTGTGAGTCATAATAGCCATGAATCGATAGTTATTTTGTAGAGTTTTAATAGGTTTGTTAGGGGTACGTCAGAAAGGATGATGTCAGGATGGATTTCCCAGCAAGGAGTCATCAGCAAGGGGTCATCAGCAAGGGGTCATCAGCAAGGATGTTTCTTTTCCTCTAAACATTACTGAAATGACTACTTGCCGTCTAGCTTCTTGAAAGTCTTTCTGGGTGGAGCTCGGGGACCTCGGGGTTCATAATAAGTCATTTTATGTTAATGTAGCCCATCCAGTTTCAATCTGTCAAATTTCACTTGCGCTAAAGGCTATCTTGCCATGGCTACTCCTCGGGATGTCACCATTGATAGACTCAATGGGAACTGGACTTTGGTAAGGATAATTGTTTCCCTGGAGAACAAAACATCTAGGAACCAGGGCTTATAAAGTCAGAGCAAAAGCTTGTCAAGTGAATTAGATCTCATCTTCAAACTTGTACGTACCATTGTCCATATTCCCTTAATTTCAAGACTAATGTTAAACAAATAACAAAATCCAGCAAGGGATTAACTGGCTCCTCCGCAAGGCCATCTCCTTAACAGACATCAATCTCAAAATCTGCACATCTCACACTTTGAATTCTGAAACGGGGGAATCTGTCGCTAAAATCGAATTCCTACAATCCCCATCTATCGGCAGCCTTGCTTCAACTACTGAGGTGCGCGTGCTAAACTGGGAGGCACAGACGCATTTCGATTACTTTTTTGGGGAGGTAGTGTGTCGGAGCTGCTTTGTCCGAGCCTCCCCTACCACTCAGGATGATGGTTGCCTGAGACCAGATTTTGAGTTGCAAGTTGGGCAGTTAAATATCGATGCTAAATTGTTTCTCAGCGGAGAAACATCTGCATCCGGAGTTAAAAGTCATGCTTCCTCGGATGGATTCCTTGTGGAGCAACCAGGAATTGACCAGGCTTGTAATCAGGGGTTGTGGGTGCATACGCATGAGAGAAACCTGGGTTCGGGTTGGGAAGTAGAGCAGGTAAGACATTCTATCCATTTTGCGGTATATGCTCGAGGAAATTCTTCTTATAATTTTCGTTAACCTTGATTGATTATTAATAGATCTGGGGCTTCGAAATGATCAACGAGAAGCGGTACTTCACGCGCAGACTGGTCGTCACTGGAGCTAAAGGGCGATATCTCTGCGGAAAGTTGGTCTACGACTTCAACAGGTATAGCAGCTAAGATCTGAGATGAAGATAAATTGTTGATCCCTTACGACATAATTATAGCAGATATATCTCCAATGTTATGTTTGATGTACGGAATTTATATTCTAGTGGGCCAAAAGCGGTAATTAGTGGACCGATAGACCATGTTATAGTGGAAGTTATTGACCGATCGTGACGGATAGTGGAGTTATTAATACTAACGCGCAGGAATCTAGGGCTAAATGTTAATTCATACCTAGTGGACCTAAATAGTCTATACCTTACCAGACAGAAAATTCGTTTTTGCTTTATCCAAATGAATTAATAATAAACAACTATATTACGCTTATATTTAGTCTCTCTTAAAGGTTCCCTATAATCCTTTTGTAATGGTTACTAAGTTGTCAGGCTCGAGACCTGTGACTAGGCAAGGATATCGGACAGCAGAGATCGGATTGGATCGTTGATACACAGACTGATTCTTGTTTTTCAAGAATCATAGCCATCAGCGTGCGTTCTAATGTCATTAAGGCTAGGGCAGACCTGCATATGCAAGCAACTATGTAAGTGACTTAGGGGATTCGGCTATATATCGGCTTGGTTTCAGTTGAGGGTCTGAGGTATACTCCGAATCCCGTGACACCTTTGTAGATAGGAATCAGAAGGTAATGAGAAGGCTCCTATGACCTATGACTAGGTACTAATGGCTCTAGCACCGAGCTGCGTATTAGGACATTTTAGAGGCCAAAACTGTGATCTCGACCAAGCCATGATTGCGAAGCTTGACCACATGGAGCGGGCCGTGCGGGAATTCCTCTAGATTATATGTTGGCTAAAAAAGAGACAGGAGCTGACATGGGCTTCTATAAACAAGGCGGTAAGCTTTAAACGTCTTAACCGAATCTCTATGAGTCAAGCCTTCAAGTTACTGTATCCATATAATATATTGAAACTATCATTTCGAAAGTTTGTTTTCTTGCCTTTAATGTTCCTTACGGTAAGCGACAGCCTGACAAGGCATTGATCTTGAGACCATGGCTCATTAAAATTTTGAGTCGCTTTGGTATGAACACTGACCTGCTTCAAGACAATCCTGACTGGAGGTGGTATCTTTTGTTTGATCTTCTATCCCTTGTATTACTGGTTGGTTTAATTTGGTCAATATCGAAGTATGCCTCTATTAGTACGATCATCCTCTTATACCACCAATGATGCTGATGTCCATACTTTAGTAAAGAGTGCTAGGAAATTTACGAGACAGGTGGAGACCACATTCGCACCAAAGTAATGATACGTTACCCTCAAGCTCTTCCATGCGACTCTAAATATAGAAACGAAATTTCGAGTACCCGCTGAGAAATCAAGGAGTGCGAGCTTACTGTGCCAGATCCTGGAATTATATAGTTAAAGTAGACTCGACATGGGCTTTTCCATGGACAAATTTTTTCTGTTCATGGACAGGACTCTCTGTTTTACGTAATTACCATGAAATTTATAGAAAAACATTAAAATAACCATTGTAGTGGGGGTTTCCGCTCTCAACATCGGCACCCCAGAGTCATGTGACTAGGGCCTTAGTAACAAGTAGTTAGTAACAAGTTAACAACTTGTTACTAACTAACAAGGCAGTCATTTAGTTTCGGGAGAATAAGTAGCGTTCGTTCCATAGTATCAATATCATCATACATATTCACCCTTATAACAATATTCTACTGAGACTGCTGAGGTTGCGGTATCGATATACTGCTTATGAAAGGTTCTGGTATTCGTTCTATCATCTCTCTATAGCGTCTCGCTCTGTCTACGACTCCTGCACTCTGTGAGTGTGGTGGTTTTGTCCTCTTGCAATCGACCTGTCTGCCAACGCAGACTGCCAACGAGCATTCCCATCTTACAACATGTAATAAATATGTATTGTATACATATTACCATTCATGGACAGATTTTTTGTTCCCTATATCCATGGGCAGACCTATGTCAAAGTCTACGTTATAATAAGGCGTAGTAGACTATTAGTCGCATAGAAGCCGCATGGATGCGTGCAGTTAGACTCGCTATGCCTATGGTGAATACTGTACCTACCACTACCCTTAAGCCTGCCGCTGAGCCTACTATAGCTACTATTGTAGGAGCGCCTCCGTCGCTTCCTCCCAAATCTTCCGGCTTATAAGTATGATCTAAACGTCTTCCTAATCATACTGAGTTAAAGGAGAACGAAGGGTTTAGGCTTTAACATAGGCCGGCCGATGTAGAAGTCTACCTATAGGGAGAATGGGGCGGGTTAAGGTGCGGGTTCACGCAGGTTATGGCACAGCTATTTTATCTAACGTTATTCAGACCTTATAATCTCGCTTCTTATAATGAAATAACTACTAAAAAACACTATAAAAAGTTAAGATCATTTAAAAGTAGTCAAACCTCGTTTACAATATAGATTAGGTCTAAAGTATCGTCGAAGGCACCGAGCCTTTTCCCAAACCCCTCGACAACGCGACTAGCCGAAGTCTCCAATTACATATGAAATTTATCCATCTCCCATGCATTCGATGGCAAGATACCACGCCTTTATCTGAACTTGAAACCTAAATGTGATCATTTCAAAACATACGGTTGTTTAGCCAACTGTCTCGTCTCACTCTTTCACAGCTTTCAGCGTGGCACCCACGCACAAGGATATGCTTATTCTTGAGTGATATTCATAAGACCATCAATTATTAAGGAAGCAGGCAATGGACTTGCTATCCACCTTGGATGGCTAGAGCATAATGCTCCAAGCATTTCCCCAAGCTGTTTGCATGTAGTAGTTGGGAAAGTGTTTCCCGAAACCTTCGTCTCTCAGTTGGTGTAACCAAAACCATATAAAAGCTTAACAATCAACCAAACCAACCATCCTTTCTGCGCAAACTTCTCCATGACATACTGAATGTGCCCCTTTCTATCCAGCAGCTGGCCCGCGAGGTCAATGTTGTTAAACAATTGCAAACCCGAAAGATCTTCGCCAGTGAGTTTCGTGCTCAAAGATACAGTTCGTTCTTCTGAAAACTCAAATGAAGCCCCTAAGATTACATATAGACGATTGAAGTGATGTTGCTCTTGGGATTTCCAATCAGCTGAAACCCAAGAAATAGACGAATTCCAAGGAATCCGACGATTCATCAAAGCTCCTTGCCACCATTCCTGGAAGACCATTCGAGCTTTTTTCCCGCTGACAGCATGGACACAGCCATAAGTTCCTACAGCTAGATGGCTGAGGAGACGATCGACAACAACATCAACGGGAACCTCATCTATATGGGTTTGTGTCTCTGGTGATACAACACGGGTCGCAATTTTAACCCTGGGAGACAGAGTCAATGCTATTCCAGCGGCAAGCATTGTTGACGGCGTGGATATGGGAATGCTATATCCAGGAAATGGAAAGGCCTGGGCTGGCCCAATCACGGAGGGACGGATAATAAGCAATTTCGTTTTATCGGCGTGCTGAGAAAACAGTTGCAGAAGTAGTCGTTCCGTTAGATGCTTCGCGTAGGCATAAGCCCAAGGGAAGTTTTCGGTTTCGAACGACTCGCTCGTGCCGTTCTCTTGGACTTGATTCCATTCGTCCATCGGATCCCCTTGGAGTTTAAGATCATAGAAATCTTCTTTAATTTCCACATCAGAGACAGGGTGCTCAGGTTGAGCGTGAAGGTGAGCATTTGCATATGCACTGGACACGTAGACAAAGCGATCGAGCTCCTTACATGTTAAGGAGAACCTTGCAATCATCTCGCTTGCTCCAATGATCGAATTTTGCAAGCCAGATAAGGGTCTTCCTAGGTTGATGGAAGATGCGGTATGAACAACCGCATTAACGTCCAGCTGAAGTTTCTCTAGCTCTGTTTTCGAGATTCCCATATCGAGCAGGAGCATATCTCCGTCAACTACAGAAAGACGAGTTGAATCTAGCAGCATCTCAACAGTTCTCTCCGATAACCACATTTTCCACTTAGATCTAAGTTTTCTAAAGGTGATGCGAGTTAACAAACAGAGGTATGTCCATTATGAGAGATTCTAGTATAACATTGACTTACTCTACCCCTCCTCGACACAAAATGTAGACATGACAGACGGATGAACGATCGAGTAGACGATACGTAATGGCTGTCCCTAAAAAACCAGATCCACCGGTTATCAGGACTGATTTGCCACTGAAATATTCCCACATGGCCATTAAAGTGGTTATTTGGGTACTCGAAATTCTAGCACAGAAAGGAACATCAATGACAATGGCAAGATCGATGGGAGAAAAAGTGTTAAATGAAAAGAGCACTCGCTTTCCGAGTATAATAACCGTGATTATCTGATATCGAGAGACAGGACAGAGAGGCCACCTAAATATACTTCATGCATATATTACACTAACGTCTTGGATAATTCGCAGCCATTCCCATATGTTGCCTTGGGAATGTAGGGCATGTGTTTGAGTTTTGGGCTTCGACTTATCAGGCCTTTTCATTGAGTAAGATATAGGAAACAATTAAATCGATAAGGGGGGTGTCTGAGACTGCTCGATACCGACAACTACGTAAATTTACGATGTCACACCACCAATATTACCTACTCAATATTCTCCAGTTGCCTGAATAAAATAAATCCCCTACTCAATAATTAATTATTATGCAGGCTTCTCAAGTTCCGCATTCCAGATCTTCTCCAAGCCGAAAGTTATCTGGAGGGACTAGTCCAGAGACTGGAAATAGCATGCAAGGAATTGCCATTACCACAGAATATATTGATGTAAATGACTTTGATCTGCATCCCTAGCATGTTGATGACAGATCATTAACGCAATAGGCTGATTATTGTAGCCAGGGATGGAATAAAGGGGCTGGTGGCTTATCATTCATTCCAATACGCAGATGATGATGCACAGGATACTTTGAACAGGCTAAGCGGAATGAAATGACTTGCCCATTTTTGATAACTTAAATCGTTCACAATTTTTAACGCCTTACAAGAACATTGAAAATCAATTCTTCCCTATTACGTGGAACAATTCCATTTTTATCTACTGCATATCGTCTGAATGATGACACTGGACAAAATAACATCACGCTACCCAAAGACCTCTGCTGTGGTTGTTGGTGCCATGCACCCTCCATTGTGGGATGTTACATTGGGTCAAATCATCGAAGAGCAAGGGAACAGTCATGGAAATAGAATTTTCGCTCATTTCCCGTTACAATCTGTCCAACGTACCTTTGCCCAGCTTGCGAACAGAAGTAGACTTGTTGCCAATGCAATTCTCAGCAGAGGCCTCCGTCATGGAGATACAGTCGGAGTTCTTGCGGGCAATCGCTATGAGCTCTTGGAGATATTCCTTGGTGCTGCTAGGATAGGATGTCCAGTGGTGCTATTGCAACCAGGCTTCTCCCCGGGTGAATTGAAAACTGCTACGATCAAAACCGGTAATTATAATTTGTACCCAGCAATTGGTTGTGTTCTGTCAATATCCTGTCTATATAATGAGCTAAGCCTGATGCTACTAGGTTGCAAATTGGTTTTTATATCAAGCTGGGTCTCTTCAAAGTGCCTCCAGCATCATGTAGACGTTGTACGACACCTTGAAAGTTGCCGGGTGATCATACTCGGACATATCGAACCAGTTGCTCCGGAGACGCCAATGCAGTCCTACAGTGAATTTTTGTCAGAAACAACCCAACATTCTCTTTTCGAGTCCGCACAACTGATGGTTCATCCAAATGATATTTTGGTCCTCCCATACACATCAGGTACGCTCGCTCTTTATCTAGGAAATTTACTCGGAAATGACCTAATTTTCACAGGAACAACCGGGGATCCAAAGGCCGCGATGCTTACGCACAAGTATGTTTGCAAAAAACCTCTCAGATAATGGAGTTTGAAAACTCGAAGATTGACAGCCAGATCTGAAATAGAAATATCATCAATAATGCTCGTTTTTTCGCCTTCGCCAGTGACGCAAATACCTCCGATGTTTTCTGCTCCCCACTCCCTCTATATCATATATTTGGTCTTGTGTCGGGATTCATCGGCTCACTCGTGTCTGGTTCCTCGATAGTGTTTCCAGGCGAAAGCTTCGATGCGGGGCAGGTCGTTGAAGCAATCATTACCTATAGGGCAACTGCTCTGTTCGGTGTCCCTACAATGTTTTTTGCAGAGATTGCCTACCTTGATGCTACAGAGCGCAGGATTGAAAGCCTGGTCAAAGCTATAGCTGGCGGCTCGTCGGTCCCAAGCGTCCTCATAGAAAGAGTCTTGAGAAAGATGGGTGCAAGGCTTCTCGTCGGTTACGGTATGACTGAGTCGAGCCCGGCAACCTTTGCTGTTTCTTTGTGGGAATGGTCGGAGAGGAAATGGGAAACAGTTGGGAAAGTTCTACCTCACACAATTGCAAAAGTGGTCAATCGGGATGGAACGATCGTGCGCCGAGGAGAAAAGGGCGAGCTCTGTGTAGGCGGCTATTGCTTACAAGAGGGCTATTGGCGTGATGACCAACGCACCAACGAGGTTATGAAAAGGGATGAAGACGGCGTGCAGTGGTTGTTCACTGGAGATGAGTGCGTTATTAATAACGATGGATGTTGTACCATCACGGGTCGGCTGAAGGACATCATCATACGGGGTAGGCAGTATCTTTTTTTTTTTTGCTTGTACTCTAAGTTGACTAATGATGAATAGGTGGTGTTAACATCAGTCCTTTGGAAATCGAAGAGAGGCTTGTTAAGCACTCCTCAATTGAAGAGGCGATTGTTGTTGGGCTTGCGGATGAGAAGTACGGCGAGGTTGTCGGGTGCTTCCTAAAGCAGCTTTCAAATGCACCAAAGCCCACAGATGAAGCGGTTCAACGCTGGGTTAGAGAGGAACTCGGCTGGCATAAAGCTCCGGCAGTTGTCTTCTGGACTGGAGACCCTGGAGTTGGGGAAGATTTCGCCAAATCGGGGACTGGAAAATACCAAAGACAGGTGATGAAAGACATTGGTGAACGGATTCTGACAAAGAGCGTTATTATGTGAATCCCTAACTACATCTGTGGTCCCCGTAGTGTGTTATAGAATGATTATAGCTGATGACTTTATAATATATTACATAGTGTATTGGCTCACTAAGACATTTGAGCTCAAGCTGGTTCATGACTGAATAATCGAAATTGGTATACAACTGGCTAGGGGCTCCACAATAGTCACAGTCAATGCCTCCTCAATTGCTTTGTGTTAACCTTATACATAAGTAACCTAAGAGGTAATATGTATATACGCGAGGCACAACTCTAGATAAATTGAAAGTTTCATTACGTCGGAAGTAGCTGAACCCAGTTGCCTCTCTTCGAATATACAATCTATTATTCTGAAGGACGGTGGGATATTTTATTAAATGAAGCACGAAAAGATGGCTGTAGTCATAGGCCAATGGCATTGATATTTTGACAATATGATATTGATTAACACTTCTAGATGATAACCTTAAAGATCTTCCCACTCATCATCATCATCCCGTTCGACTTCGCCATGGGTCTTGAGAAGATTTTTTATGAACATTGCGACAGTGTAAGCCACATCCATTGTGCGCGGTACATGATGGGTTCCCGGAAAATAAAAGACCTCGGTGCATTGGCATCGTTTCACCAGTCGCAATGTATCTGATGGAGGGATAATTGGGTCTAGTGTTCCAATAAAGTGTAGAACCGGTGTTCTAATTTTTGGACGATATATGGCTTTATAATATGGATGCGATAGCTCGAATCCACTGAAACAGACTGAAAATAGTAGAGGAGGATGGTTTGTCTGGGAATAGTGAGTAATTTGAACGATTTTGGGAGATTTTTAGCAGTCAAATTACCTCAAACTTGAAACATGATTGGCGTTTTGGCCGTTCTAGTAAAGACGCAATAATCGCAGCAAGAGACGCGCCGGCGGAAAATCCCATCACTCCAATGAAGGGACCGTGATTGTTGAGTATGTCCATGATATGCTCAATGGAATTTTCAAGCCCTGTGACTAGATCGGTTTTGTGGTCACCTTGGCCCCAGGTCCACATATTGTCATTTTCCTCCAGGTAACCACGTTTTTGTTCCATAAGTGCTTCCAATTTTGAAGACTGACAGATATCGTGATTTCTTGTAGGTAGCGGTGATGTCGCATAGAAAAGTTCGATGTCATCATCGTAGGATACTTCGGAGTCATGCTTCAGGGTTCCGTGAATGCCGGCCTTAAGCCAGTTTTGCAAAAATTTTGTTTTGTACATGAAGAAATCACCTGACTGTCCATTCCCTATTGAAATTGATTTTTGAATTAATTCATGTCTTCACTAGGATGAAGATATAACCCACCATGAAGCATCAGGATCCGTTTTCTGGTCTGAGAATGCGGACTGGGCTGTGTGTGAAGCATATTAGATGAATGCACATTCATGAAAGATCTTCCAATTTATCAAGATGTATATGCGGTATGACGGTTCTTGCGCACGGCAGGGCATTGAGAAATACGTGAAAACTGAACCTGTTTGTTAAACTATTTAAGAGCCTCATATAAGAGCCGATAAGAAGGAATGTAAGTTTGAGACATAAAGTCATCTTCTTCTTGCATGGGGATGAGTTATGTACGATGTGGATCCAAAGAATGATAATTATACTTTCCATCTACTGACTTTTTGTTTTATGATTAGCCTAATACAAGGAGTTTATTATAATGATAAAAGTGTGTTGCATTCTCGCATACCTACGTTACATAATTCACCATCGGGCCGCCACTGCCATCGGGCCGCGAATATATCGTACATAATTCAACCACCACCAATTTAATTGCAAAAACTAGGTATTATTAACAGCTGGCCACCCATTACGCTTATGCCCTGGCTCCCTGCAATTGGTACAGCGTTGTGGGGGCCTCTCACTCACTGGTCCCGCCGCGCGCAGGGTGCCGATAGCGGGGGCATCTGGATTTCGTTCTCAATTTGTATACGCAGTTGCATCTTCTCTGCCGTCAATCCACCTTCATATACTAATTGCCTATTTGTTGTCGCTTGCTTTCGCTTTCTTCGTCTATTTTCAGCCATCACACGCTCACACGTAGCGGTCAATATTACAAGTTGATTTTCAATGTTTTGCGTACCCCTGCTAGCTTGCTCTAATTGTTGATATACATCGCCATTAGGTGTAAAATACCTGCGTGCTAGTAGTCCTTTGATTCAAGATATCTGACGTCGAAAAGTAACAGCTTTGCAAGGCGTATAAGTAGACTTTAGCATGGGCCGGCCCATTGCTGCCTGATTCTGCCTGATTTATGGACATAAACTGCTGAGTCACCTGAAATTAATTCTGTTATTTACCCCTGTTTTCGTTAAAACACATACCACCTACCCTATTATCTATCTTCTCTATTGTATTTTTATGAAATATCCCTGTTTATGGATAGATAATATATATCTTTATTAGTATAATAGCTATTTTCAATAGATAAGGGTAGGGTATAGCGTATATTATAGAGTAGTGTTTAATAACCCTGCTAAGGTATGAATATATATATTACGTACATGTATTACCCTCACCATGTTTCTGGTTATACTATCTTTAGTACTAAATTTACCCCAAAAGTGCGTTTTTGGACTAGTTTGAAGTAGAATCTAATGAATTAGACCCTCTAATATCTATATTCTTTATTTAATTGATAAAAAATAGCTAGAAATAGTATAAAAGTTCGGATGAAAGGTTCGAATTGTTAGTGTTAAGACCAGGGTCTTAGGGGGTTGGATGGATGGGAGTGATAACACGGCACAGCGTACTCCTGTACTGCTGCTGTCTGGATTGATGGTAATATAATCACTGGAGAGCTGTTATGCAGCTCTCCCGCCGTGCTACTTCTGTTGTGCGGCTTAGCTAAGCGGATCACCGGCATACCGGGTCAACCCTTCTCCGGCCCAACTCCGTTAGGGCCCTTCGCATGTAGAAGTATACTCCTCTGCCTATACTCTTGGGTTCTGGCCCCTCTCGTATAGGTCTTCCTAGACGTGTCGTAACAGTTTTCCGGTCCAAAGGCTAGCTAATTACTATAAACTTTGCCAAATTAGAGAAATATACTTTCCATCCTATCTCATTTTAGACCTTAACCACCATTTTTTAAAGTCTTCACTTATAGGTTTAGCCTAAAGTATATACTCTTCACTATTAACCCTAACTCGCTTAATTAATCTTAGTAGGGTAGGGGATAGGGTAGATAGTAAAAAGGATAATATAGAATCAGATAGATTAATACTATCAATACTATCACTATAAAGTAATAATTAAGATATATCAATATAAGGGGTAAGTAAGAGAAGAATCAGAGAAGAATCAGAGAAGAAAAAGTAAAGAAAAAGTAAAGATAAAAGGGGTAAATTATAGTAATTAGCTAGCCTTTGGACCGGAAAACTGTTACGACACGTCTAGGAAGACCTATACGAGAGGGGCCAGAACCCAAGAGTATAGGCAGAGGAGTATACTTCTACATGCGAAGGGCCCTAACGGAGTTGGGCCGGAGAAGGGTTGACCCGGTATGCCGGTGATCCGCTTAGCTAAGCCGCACAACAGAAGTAGCACGGCGGGAGAGCTGCATAACAGCTCTCCAGTGATTATATTACCATCAATCCAGACAGCAGCAGTACAGGAGTACGCTGTGCCGTGTTATCACTCCCATCCATCCAACCCCCTAAGACCCTGGTCTTAACATGGAAGCAGCAGAGACAGCGGGGCCGGGGAGCCTGTCTGGAACTGGTGGTTGAGCTTGTAAAGGACTGACGCATTCGTCGTAAAATAGACCCTGAATGCCTCCGAGGTCCATCTCCCTAGCATCTGAATCTGGTCGTCGAGTATCCCACTATCGTGCGCATGCTGAGCCGCACCCTTCCGAAAGCTGTGACCTGAATATCCGTGTGTCGGTATCCCAAGTGCTCTTAGCTTAGTAGATAAGGTCGAGAGGAAGTTGTTGCGGCTAAATGGTCTTCTGCCGAAGGAGAACAATGGGGCGTCGGGCCCTTTGGGGTCGAGAAGTAGCAGTTTCCGAAGGGCGTCAACTGGGCATGCGCCGTCTCCCGTCTTTGCAAGAATAATTTGCACCCCTTCGTGACGGCGGTCCGTCTTACTGCGCTTGAGTGTGAGTTGCGCGTGGTCTAACGAGGGCGAGAGTCTGACGTCTGAGCGCGTTAACTTTGTGGCGGAGAAGATAGAACGTGTGCGGAGGTCTTCAGTCTTATAGGTAAATTCTCCGAGGCGGAGAAACCCAGCAAATGCTACCCGACACGCGGTTGCGAAGTTCAGGTCGTCTAGGAGGTTCGCAGTCATCTCTAAGGGACGTAACGGGAGTGTGGCGAGGCCTGCGGATAGTTTCGTGATAGTGTCACGCGAAATCGGTTTTCTGAGCCGTATTTTTGTCATGGGATTGAGTCTTCTCGCGCCGTCTATAAGACGTCGGAAATGCTTGTTATCAAAGAGTTTATCGTCAAGGAAGTTGTCGATATGGTAGGCTCGGAGAGCGGCTAGGTCGGCGAGTGCGGTATCAGGCTTGACGGCCTTTTGACTAGCGTTACCAAGAAGTCGTGCGCTTAGCCATGAGGTCAATGAATGCCTTGAAACTGGCCACGCGGATAGATTCTGTAGCGCGCAGTGCTTTTCGTAATTACGCTGAACGGAGAGGTAAACGGAACGTGTGTTAGCGCTGAGTCCGTTCCAGAGCAGTTTCAGGTGGCCTGCATTGAGCTGAGGAGCTCGTGAAGAGAACCACGCGGGCGGTTCAATACCGAGAGGTCCTGCCAGTGGGGACAAATGTTAGCAATGTCTTCAAGATTATTACGTGAGAGCGCATCTGCTAATGTATTTTCCCGGGAGGGGAGCCAGTGTGGCACGATGTGGATGTCTCTCGCCGCCGCTAGGATAAGTAGGCTCTTTAGAGGTGCGTTAGGCGGACCATGAAGGAAGCCTTTCTTGAGTCCCATGTGCGCTGTGGAGCTATCCGTGTGGATAACGAGAGTATGATGGAGCCAATGGTGGCTGAAGAGTAGGAAGCCTTGGAGGATGGCGTCTACTTCTTGAGTATTGATGTGCGCGTGTGCGTCTTGAGCAAGGGCCAATGTGGCAGCATTGCTTTGATGAAGCTGGTGACAATGGGCCAGCCAGCAGTCTAGTGTAGACTTGGATGAGAAGAAGAAGAGCCCCTGGCCTATACTAGAAGCATCTGTGTAGAGATGCGTGATAGTGCGGCGGCAAGGGTCAATCAGGAGTACGCCGTTGAAGAGAGACAAGGAGTCCCTCCACCATTCCAAATCGTCACGTACCTCGTAGGGGATACGGCGGCGCGCGCTACTCCCATGTGGGAAAGCGGCTTGGAAGGAGTATAGAGACTGTAGCCTTGTTCTCCCTAGCCGGACAACTCTTGAACAGAAGGCTAATAAGCCTGCGAGGCGCTCTGTTTGCTTGAGTGAGAGACTCACTGCCGTCAGACAAGTTGCGGCGTCCAATGTGGCGCGGCACAACTTTTCTGGTGGCAGACGAGCTTCCATTGCAATAGAGTCGATCTGGATACCTAGGACTGTAACGCAGGTCCCTTGCTGGTCCTTTTTGGTATTGCGGGGGATACGTAGGTAGTCGGTGACCCTGTTGTAAACCTCGTCGAAGGGACCCGTAGGCTCGGACACCGAGGGAGACCGGGCAATGACGATGAAGTCGTCTAGGTAATGATTGATATGGAATGCAGGTAGGTGGCATTGGAGTATCCAATGGAATGCCTCGGCGAAGAGATTGAACAGAAATGGGGCCGTTGCGAGGCCAAAGGGGAGACAGCATTCGACGTAAGTCGAGTCATTCCACTGGAAGGCAAGGAGATGTTGGTTATCCTCGGCAACGGGGACTATTCGGAAGGCGTCCTTGATATCCCTCTTGATGATTGTGCAACCCCGGCCAGCTTGTATGACCTGCTCGTAGATATGATCAATTGTCATGTATTCGATCGCTGACCAGGAGTCCGGTATGCCCTGGTTAAGGCCCTGTCCAGGCGGCCAAGATAGGTCATGGATGCGGCGCCATCCCCCATCGTGCTTAGGAACCAACCCAAGCGGTGAAACAAAGGAGGGCCTAGAGGCTAGTCTAACACGGCCGAGGTTGAGGTCTTCTGCTAGTTGGGCCGTGATTATGCCGGGTTCGTGTATGTGATGGTTAGAGGAATAGCGAAACTGCTTCTTGCCCCTATAGCCAACCTGGGCACCGTAGGTCAGAATCCCAGCGATAGTGGAGCCCAGATCGCCTGGATAGTAGCGCAGAAGATTGCTCCAGCCTTTCGCATTGAGTGGTGACGGAGAGGATTGTAATCTTGGGAGCTCTGGGTTGAACACGGGATATTGAATAGCAGTGTTTGGTCTAGGTGGTTGCCCCTGCGGTGTGAGGCTTAGGGACAAGGGGTTAAGAACAACGTTGCCGGTGTCACTAGTGCAGTTCTCAAGGGCTATCGCTTGCTACTTCTTCTTGCGGCAGGAGGAGGCACCATGCTCGCTTAGGCCGCATGCCGTGCACTCATGACGTCTCTTGCAGCCTTCCCAGGAGCACCCTATCGTATTGAACTTATCGCAAACCTCTGTCTCATTATTCGAAGACCTGGTATTCCTGGCTTGACGAGGCCGGGCTGGAGGATTTGTTGGTGACTTCGCAGGTAGGGTGAGATTGTGGCGGAGGTATTTCTCGCGAAATGGGCCTGTGACCAGGTAGTTGTCCGTCGATAGCTCTCCTTTATCCAGTATGTATTGGTGGAAATTAAGGGCAAGTGGGAGAACTGCTTCCGACCACTGATAAGTCTGAGCGAAGTCCAGGATCTGCCTCATAAACATGAGGAGGTTGGGAATTGCCTTAGGATGTTTCTCGCCGAAGAGGTACCCTACAACGGCCAGATAGGCAAGAAAGCAAGTCGTCCATATCTGAGGGTTAGGGCCCCAGTCCTTAAGCGACGCTGCTGCCTTCTTGAAGCCCACTGTGCCTCCCGATTCGGTCATTTTGAAGACTCTATCCTCCTGATCTAGCTCGGTGACTGACTTCTCTTTGAAGCGTATAAGTTCAGTCGCCTTCAACTTCCTCTCGAAGACGCGGATAAGAAGGGCGGCGGAGACACCCGGAAATATGTCGATGAGTGATTTGACCTCAGGGGGAGGCTCACGGTTTTCTTCGAGATTATCGTCATCTTGCAGGTCCACATGAGGTCTTCTACGGCGTAGATCGGTCTCTGCTACATCCAATTCAAGGCGTCTAGCCCTGTCTTTCTGTATCTGCCCTAACCAACTGGCACGGTCTGCCGCACCCATAGTCTCCCAAATGTGGGCCGGTGGCCAAGCGGAGTCGAGCGGGGCAGGAGTGACACTGCTGGACTGGCTGAATGTCATGGTGGAGAGAGATATAGTCAAGGCTTATCGATGCTGTTGCCGTAGGGAAGGACGTGAAACACAAAATTGACACTTGACTGCCTGAGAGATGACGAGCTACCCGCAGAGGCCATCAACTGACTCTCGTGAGGCAGTTGTAGGAGGAAGAGGCCCTCGGAAATGTCGGTGTAGATATCACGTGAGGCTACAGACATGGTGAGGCACTGAGGCTACAGGCATTGTGAGGCAACCCCAATAAAACCACTCCCTTTATCCGAACTTTCTTCGGATAAATCCCCTCTTTTTCTCTTCAACCTCACACTCTCTCTCACATATACTCTCATACTCTCTCTCATACTCTCACTCTCATCCTCACTCTCTTCAATATCACTAATTTCACTAATATCACCCTTTTCTACCTGAACTTCATCCTTTTCCCCCTCATCTAGGCTTCTACAAAACCCAATAGACCCCAAACCCAACCCCACCCAACCGCACTTTGGGTTGGGTTTTGGGTCCAACCTTCGACCCCAGCCTGGGTTTTGGGTCTAGCCCTCGGACCCAACCCAATATATGGGGCCCCAATGGGGCCCCAAAAAGGTCAAAACATTATAAACATGCCAAGTCTGGGCATGTACATAATTTATGCGTTTTAAAGCTGTAACATTGCGTATTTCCCTTACAACTTTCGACAGTAACCATACTAATCACGGTAAAAAGATCATATTCATTCGCTTAAAAACTTAATAAAACTAGTAGTGCTCAAATCCATCATCCTCTCTACTTTTCCGCTTTCTCCCTGATACCCGTAGCTGCGTATTCATACCCATTGGTGGTAGGGCATTATCCTCATCCTTATCCTCATCCCTATCCCTATCCCTATCCCTATCCCTATCCCTATCCCTATCCCTATCCCTATCCCTATCCCTATCCCTATCCCTATCCTCCTTCTCTTCCTCTTCCTCTTCCTCTTCAGAGTCTTCAGAGTCTTCACCCTCTACTGCTTGCTCCTCAGTATCACTAATAGGATCTATCTCAACTTCATCTAGTCTCTCATCATTTTCTTCCCTTGCAGCTTCAATTTCATCTAATGAGAAGTATTTCTCTACTTCCGTCCTTTGTTGCTCTTCAAGGTCAAACCTTGAAGTGCAAAGAAACATCATCAGCTCTTCAATCGTTTCTGACTTCATACGACCACGGCGATAGTGGCAGATATCCCGGGCAGTATTAAAAAGTCGCTCTACACCGGCACCAGTTGCCGGAATAGATAGAACATCCTGTGCAAGTGCAGCGATTGTTGGGAAATGCCCTTGATTCTCTCTCCAGAATGGAAGAGGCTCAGCATCAATAGGATCTAAGATGATTAGTAAATAGAAGAGAATAGAATAGATTAGGATATTTCAACGAACCGCCATCAAGGTATTGTGTTACTTCGTCTCTAACTGGCTTTATCTGCGATTTATTACCACTTAGCATCTTATTAAGCCTTGAACTCGGCTTTGGTGTAGAATAAGAGCTAGCTATGCCTGAAACAGTAGAGAGCTGGCGTTGGTAAGGAATAAGAGCTGCTTGGAATGCATTTCTGTATTTTTCCTGCCACTCCTTATCCCAATCATCTGATTTGAAAAATTGGAACCGGTTATCAGGGGCTAGCATGGTACCAATTGCATAGATAGATCCCCGAATATTATCCGTCTGTGAGTAGTACTCATCAAGCTTTAATCGGCCAGCTTGGAGAGACTTAAGCATATGCTTTTTCCATGGAACTAGACCTCGCCAAATGGGCGGGTTGGGTTTCGACCCTTGACCCAAAACCCGCCAAGAGATTAAAATACACGTAACATATACCTGATTACATCACTCTATATCTGGTACTGGTTGTATTTCAACAGTAATACTGTAATATACAGGTAAATGGGTTCTTGGCGGGTTCGCGGGTATTCCTTCGGGTACCCAAAAAAGCAATATGGCGAGGTCTACATGGAACACGCTTCCGCTGAAGCTGCCGTATTGAATTTTCAAGATGGTCGAATAGCGCGTTATAGACTTTGAAAACCAGGTGTGTTGTGATATCTCGGGTCTTTGAAAGTTCAGTAGTATACTCAAAGAATGGCTGAGTAATAGTGATAAGGTAGTCAATTTGACGCCACTCCTCATCATCTAGTAGCATTTCTTCACAGCTATACTCAGCACAGAAGGGTGGAAAGATAGCACGAAGTCGCTTTGCCCGACGAAGCATCAAAAATGTTGAATTCCATCGAGTCTTGACATCTTGTATTGGGATGACCTTTGGCTCTTTAGTCTGAAGGCTGTTGAATGTATCACGGCGTTGAGGGCTTGCATGGATATATATCGCAAGGTAGCGGACCTTATTTAAGGTCGACGCAATACCACGCTTCTCACGCTTCGCATTAGCCTGGGCTAATTTTGATTGCTTATCTGTCCACTTTGTCTGAGGAGTATCATTCAAAGGGACTGCCCTTAAACGATCGAGAAGCTGGTTAAGACTGAGCTGGATCACATGAGCAAGGCAGGGTGTTCGGATAATGTTGATATTCTCTGGTAAAGCTTGCTGAAGAGCATTAACCATGGTCTTATTATTTGATGCGTTATCGGTTGTTAATCCGAATATCCGGTCTGTGATACCATATTCCAGTAATGTTTCAAGAAGAACAGTACTGAGATTCATACCAGAGTGTGAACCAGAAAGTGGTTTGAAACCAAGAAGCACCTCTCGAAAGATCCATTCTGCATCAATAAAATAGCCAGTTATAGCCATAAATGCCTGTCCAAACGGAGAAGTCCAACAATCAAGTGCAATTGAAATCTTTGTATTTGGTGGTAGGAGTCGAAGGATTGTCTTTTGGCGATCTGTAACCCTATCCTTTAGTCGCCGGCGGACTATATTGGCGGATGGGATTCGTGGAGGTACGGGTGCAGAGCGAGCCTTATGGATAAGGCTAGCGAAGGTTGGGTGCTCGATAAGACTGAAAGGGAGACGGTTAAGGGTGAGAAATTGTAGGATCTCATCATACCAGTCTGATTCTAAGAATGGGATGGTCGTTGGTATTTGTTGCTAGTTAATTAAAGTGTTAGTTTGATCTTTTGTGCACAAAAACTTATCTCTTAAGAACTTACTCCTTTCTTGAGAAACCCTGTGATCTCAGTATCCCGTCTTCCTGCTGCGGCCCTTTGACAATCTGTAGTTTTTAAGTGTTTCGCCATAGTCGATGTGCCCTGGTAGCCCTTATCGCTGCCTGGTCGAACAGAATAAGGGTGTTTTAAGACCCTCCCACAGCGCTTGCACATAACACTTGGTGCCCCATCTGTAATTTGAGCAACTTGGTGGAAGCTGCTCCAAATTTCAGAGTGGCGGCCAGAATCCCAATGAATCTTACTTTTGCTCCCATAATCAGTTTGTAACCACCAATCAACCCACTCAGTATGATTCGACATATCATAAAGGAAGTAGTTTTTTCTCCGATCTGGCCCGACGCAGGTAAAAGAGGGAGGATTTTGAGGAAGAGGAAGATCTGGTGGAAGGAATTCGTGGTGAAATTCAGATATAGCTTGGCTACCAGAAGGTATTGCTGCTTGAATAGATGGTGTAAGGTATGAGAGATTATCTAGATCTCCATTATAGATAGACGATTGAAAGTCAGAATGCTGGCTTTGAGACATGATGGGTTATTAAGGATGACCATAGGTAGTAAAAGGTAAGGGGGAGAAAGACTTACAATATTAGACACTGTATAAGGTAGATAGAAAAGGGAGTTAGAACAAAAGAAATATAGTCTAATAGCTATTGATTGGCTAAGTAATGAGAATTAATATGGGTCTAACCCAACAGAACCCAGAAAACCCCAAGAAAACCCTAAGAAAACCCAATAAACCCCAGCAAAATCCAATAAACCCCAGGAAAACCCCAAGAAAACCCAATAAACCCCAGGTGAACCCCAGCAAAACCCAATAAACCCTAAGAAAACCCAGGAAAACCCAATTCCCACTCCAATTTCCCCTAAGATCCCTAAAAATATTTCAACTCCATGAAAGAAGAAATCTTTCTGTTCAATTTTCTACCGCAACAAATAATGTCTATCTATTCAAAAAGAAACAAATTGTAACAGAGAAATTTAGCTTTCATTCTATATAGAGATCATCTTGATTAGAGTGAATATTAAAAACTTTTGCTTCATTTTCACTAATGTCTAAATAATATACCGACTACTTCATATTCAAATATATATTTCTATATGTTCTTCATAACCCTTTCCCTATTTTGTGGAACTACCACCATAATATACTAAAATCCAACGTTTTTCTTTTGTAATTAATAGAAAACCAGTCTTTCTATCTTCTACTCTGCCTTTATTACCTAAAATTTCCTTTAATTGAACCTATAACTAGAAAGAATCTTAGAGGGAAACCAGAACACCTGTAAAAAACAGTATTTTAATTTGATTAGTGAGTAGGGTTATGCATGCCAAGACCTCTTTTTTATGCAAAATTGGGTTTTCTTGGGGCCCCAACCCAAACCCAATATGGGTTGGGTTTTGGGTCAAGACCTTGGACCCAAATTGGGTTTTGTAGAGGTCTAAACCAGACGAACCATGAGGATGGAGACGTAAATGAGGTGGAAGAGGGGGAAGTAATTGAAGTCGATGAAGCTGATTTGCTTCCACCTCCAATAATACAATTGGGCGATAGAAGTCAGAAGAGATCCTCTGGTAGGGTAACGATGCCCTCAAGTCGACTGCATGGGTACGAGCTATATTAGTCTTCATGCACCAATCTCATTCCCTTTGTCTATAATATTTGTTCCCCAATCTCCCCGCTATAGATTAAGATACCCAGACAGTGGCTAAACCATCACGTAATCTAAAATTACTGCATAATTTAGTGCAAAATGATATGTCAACTATTTTTGCTTTTTTGGGTTATAC